GCATACAATTTCGAACCAGAAACATATGAGTTTATGTATATATGTATTTATTAGAAAGGATTTTATTTAAGAGATCACGGTATCCTCAGGTTAAGTTTTTTTTTAAGTAAAAGTAGATTACATAAGCTTTTGGATGTCTTCAATGAACACTTAATTGAAAGAAAATAATATATTTACAAAAATAAACAATAATGTGAATTTCAAAAAAAAATCAGAAAATTTAAATATTCAGAATTTTTTAAATTTTTAGCACTTTTAGTTTTTTTAAGGTTTTTAATCAATTTTTTCTTTATGGTTTTACAATAGTTATCGCTACAAATCTGTACATTCATTTGCTTACTTATCAAATAACATTTTCTATGCTTGAGTAAGAAATTTAAAAAAAAAATGTAAAAAGTATCGGCGACACAGGTATAACATGCCGTATAACGTTTAATGATTTATAAAACGCTTATTTCATGTACATTTTGATTAAGCATATCATAATAATTATTAAAAAAAAATATTTCAAAGCTTTATGTTTAAAGGATAAAATCCTTAGGGATTCAAGTTATATGCATGTATAAAAAAAGTTATCAATGAGAAAAAGCACTTTAAAATTTCGTATTTTCTGAAAAGACTACTGCCATTTTGCCTAAAACCGTTTTTAACACTTTAAATAATACATAAAGTTAAGAAATATTGTCTATTATAAGACTTTTGAATTTGTCATGAAAACATCCAGAAAACTTCCTTAATTTCTTCTATTTTAGATAATGTGATCCCTTAATTTAGGAACAGTGAAAACATTTTTGATAAACCTAATTATTTGTAAACTGAAAAACAATAAAACTTTAACTATCTTATTATGAAGACAATAAAACTAGTATGGAACACATAAAAAACAATTATTATATTTTACATATCAACCAGTTTATCATTTGATTTAATTCTTCTAATAATTTTAAAAACTTTTTACATGGTGTCGTAAACTACACTGATAGTTTTCAAAAAATTTATAACAGAAAAATGGTAAAGGTTAAAAATACAATTCTTGCAACAAATTCATGTGACAGGGTATAAATCTTATTCCCAGAGTCATCGTCTTTACTTCAAAAACTTTCCAAAAATTAGCGCTACAGATACAAACATTAAAACCTATAATCAAACCTATAAATTAAAGTAAAAGAATTAATTACAAATTAATTCTCCTACTTTGAATTATTTTACTAATAAGAAAAATTGCAACAAAATGTTTCAAAATCTTTTATGAATGAAAATAAAATAATAATATTTTTGAAATGTTTTTTCATCAACTACAATTATTTGTTGTAATCTTAGGACGAAATTAGCAAACGGAAACTAAAAGCAGAAAGGACTTGATGCGCCATCAATGGAAAACTGTTTGAACTAAAATTGTTTAACTACGGAAATAAAATTTATCCCCCATCACATGAATTTGTTCTAAAGGATTGTTCTTAAAATAATCGTTATCTTGTAATAAATGTTTGAAAACCCTCAATCTAATTTAAAAGTTCCTGTATAATTTACCTATAGAAACAAATAACATACCTCATAAGAACGAATTTCACCTACACAAATAGATTCCATCAAAAGGTGAAATCAAATTAATCCAACAAATTTACAATCTTCACTAGATTCAGAAATATTTTTAGATACAATACAGAACTTTTATGCAAATGCAGTAAAAATACACTAAATATTCCTTTTACCATAATCTCTTTTTAAAGTTCAAGGTATCAAACTGCATGTTATCAGGAAACTAAACGGACAACTGTCTATATTTTTTGAATAAATATTCGTTTTATAAAAATAGGTTATTTACTAGAGCTTTGCCTCATGAAACTTTTAAAAGCTTACATTATAGATTTTAAAAGAAAGCTTTTAAAATGCAGGTGTTCAAAATACGCTTGATCCTGAATGTGAAACATCCAACATTTTTATTTAGAATTAATATATGTTTTCTTTTTTTAAAGATTTCAGTATTTTATTTTAGTAGTGAATCGGATATTTACCAAAGGGTTAAAGAAAAAAATAATGTTTAAAACAATTCAAAGGTTTGATAAATGTCCTATCAGACATCCTTTTATTCAATAACAGCTTATTGCTCAAACATATATTTAGAAACCTTAATCTAAATATCAATGTTAAAAAACATCATTTAATGGATGCATATTTATTATCTAATTCATAGGTCGCCTGAACGATTATTGCTTGTAATCTTCACGAGAGGCTATCGCAAGTGTAGGGCGGATAAGGGACAAGTATAGTTTCTAATGATTAAAAAAACTTGAAAAGAAAAAGTTTTAAATTAATAAATTTTATAGAGTTGTGACCTATTCGTTTTTTTAAAAAAAATACGTTGTTACAGTTATCGAAAAAATTAAAATCATCAAAAATTATGTGATTGATTTTGTAGTAAAAGAAACTATTTCATTAGGTCATTTGTTTTACTCAAAAATTCGCTAACTTATTTTGATTCCATATTTGAGTTACAAAAGAGTGTCCCAAAGTTTGTGCAAAATTTGAATATTGAGGGATTTGTGCTATAAATGTTTGCCAACTTAAAAAAGTAAATAAATAAAAAGAGAGAGAGAGAATAAACGGAAGAATGGTTTTTAAAAATGAATAACACAAAAGAACGACGCATTTTCATTTTTGAGCAGCACTTTGTTTGAGCATTATTGTGCCATTTTCTGGATGTACAATTTTCCAATTTGGTGATCAGAATCAACTTTTGTCATGCGATTTAATGCTCGAAGGCGTTTTTCATTAGAAATTTCTGAATTCTAAGCATTATGACAACAAGCTTTCTATCAATAACGTTTTGAAGGATGAAATTAAGTGCAAAATCAAAAAAATTCAGACAAAACGGTCATTAAGAATTATGACAAAGGAGTGCGCATGTGACAACAATACTTTCCCCGTCACTCAATATGCTGTTCTACAAAAAACTATATACTTTCTAAATCAATAAAAACTCATAGTTTTCAACTAAAGCCCATGTTTTCTATCAAAATTATATGTTTTCTATCATGATGATACGTTGGTGTCTGACTATAATCAATTTAATATCAACTACAACATCAAGTTTATATCTTCAATTTAATTTTGTGCCAAAACTTTATGTTTTATGATTTGATTCACCTCTAAAACTGTTTCTCAAAAAAAAAAAAAAAAAAAAAAAAAAAAAAAAAAAAAAAAAAAAANAAAAAAAAAAAAAAACAATCATTTACATTCCTTTATACTTACGAACATTCATTTGATATTATAATCCATCTTTAAGTACAAACGAACTCTTAATGTTTCCTATGTTTCAAATGTTACTATATCAATTTGGACATGGTTTTCTATTTATATTATAATTTAATCAAAAGAATTCCCGTGGTTGTACTTCGTTTGTTCAATATTAAATCAAAGGACGTATGATTAATTTTTCAATGCCAGGTGACTGAAATGCTTGACATATAAAATTTCCTCATTTAAACATCATTTGCGGAACAAATATATTTCATTCCCTTGTAGCTCATAAAAGATTCAATTACGAGATGCCTTAAGTGAGAATTTTTAAGAACTACGATAATGATTAGTTCCGGAACATAAATACAACAATTCTTTTATTCTTTATGAAGAGAAAAAAAATTCAACTAAGCGATGTTGCGTACTTTTTCGGAAATTTTTCGCTTTTTAAAATTAAATAAAGCTACTAACATTTAAAGATACAGCAGTTTAAGCATAAGATCATATCATTGTAAATAATTTAACATCAAAAATAAAATTATGGAGAAAGAAAACAAATTTTTTGCACTTATCTCTATTCACATAATTAGATCAACAATGCGCACACAATGAATTTTGACTTGCAGGGTGGAGCTTGCGCAGCATTTATTTGGTTAGCCAAAAGGATGTAGTGGTTTTAATAGTTTGGAGTGCAAAGAGTATATAATCTACTAAGAGAAACTTTTATTCTTTTAGAAACTAGGTATTCAGAAAAACTATGGAATATTACTGTGAAATGTTGAGCATAAAAAATATATTACATTATTGTTACAAATAATATACATTTAAAAGCTAAAGTACTTTAGAGGTTTTTCCCCCAAAATTGAATCGAAAATTAGTAAAGGCAGGGCAACTTGAAACATGTGTGCGATGTTCTGTCAAATTTTCTTTGCATAACTTACAATAAAATGTTTTAATAACAAAACTTTACATGTTTTTGAATTTATAATATTTTACATTCAAATTATTAATGCACTTCTTTATAATAGGGCCATAAAACAGAATAAATAATCTTTATTTTATTCTGTTTTATGGCACTATTACGACTATTAGATAAGACATTGCAGCAACCAAGAAACGATTTTCGAATTTTATGAGCATGTCCTAAGCATATGCAGCAAGAATATCTATTAATAGAATTGATTTCCTACCGCATGCCAAGATTACTGAGAATAAGATGCAATAGTTATGTTTATTGCGAAAAAGAATTAATGGTAATATTAATTTAATTTTTTAGATTATAGGAATAGAATATACTTTGACATGACAGACACAATAAATTTATTTTTGCAAACCCATGCAGCTTGGTTAACAACCCATCGATTAAAGAATACAACAGTGTATCACATCTCCCAACCATGGCCAAGTACCTAGCCCCGCTTTTCATGGCTCTTTTAACGGCCATGGCAGAGATGCCACGTAATTTTGACCCCGGTCAGACAATTTGAACAGCACCTGAGCTGATACCCCTCTCTCCGAATTTCCACACAACCAAGGAGAGGACTTACAGCCACGACAGATTTAACGTACACCTTGCTGCACTTGCACGCCGGTCGTCAGGATCGAAATTACGACTTCAAGCTCTCCAACCAGTTGTGTAAGCGATGCCTTAACCAATTGCGCCACCGGAGCGCTTCAACTGTGTTTTATGTTTTGTTTTTAACTCATTGACTTATTTATATTTCTCGATATCTATAACAGTTATTTTCATTCTCATTTAGGCAATGGATAATATGATCATTCATGATGAACTCTTGAAAAAGTATCTCTCCTCCCCGTCCTCTGATGACATAAAAATTTCATCTATGTTTAGAAATAGAGCAACACATCTTCTTGATCAAGCAGAAAACATGCTTATTGTGGCAAAAAATTTGAAAGAAAAAGAATGGTTTAAAAAATTCGTACATAAACTGAAAATGCTAGCTTCTGTCATAGAACAGAATATTGTCAATCAAGCAAGGGAAAATGAATCAAACAGTTTCACAACAGATGAGTTCGCAGTAAGTTCAAATGTTAATTTTATTACTTCTAAACGAAATATAACCTGATCATGCAATAGTTATCTTCTTAAAAATACTAATTAGTGGTAAAAAGCAGCTGTAGCGAAACGAATGATAAATATGCTATTCAGTGTCGAACCAAACTGATCATGATGTTATAAGCATACAATATATGCTTTATTACTTAATTTTCTAGATTATACTTCGGCCTTAAGCAGTTACAACGATGTAAAACTATAACAAATATTGATGTTATTACGAGCTTTAAGCTTTAAAGTGGATTAATTTTACGTAAAATGCTAAATTAATTTGAAATTTTCCAATACTAGACCAAAAAACCACTAACTTCATTAATTATTAAGAAATAAGATTAGATATGAATGCGAAACTTGAAAAGATATTGTGGGATCAACCATTTGGTCTAGAATATATATATATATATATATANTATATATATATATACACACACACAATGAAACCACACGTTACGGACTCTCCAACAAAAAGATGCCTCTCATCACGGACAAACTTTTAATTCCCTGAGGATCTTCTATGAATAAACCATTGGGTATCCTCTCTGCAAAGTGGAAATCCCGTAAGTCATTATGCATCCACGAAAAGCCATTTATGCTAAGAAAAGTTATTTTCTATTCATTCAAACCGGACACCAATTCTTCTAAACTTGAAAACAAAACTATTTCTGCTTTAAATTCTAAGAAAAAAAAATCAACCTTCTACTATTTTTAAAGCATGTAAATTTTTTGCCCTATCCATGACTAAAAATATTAAGCTAATTTACTACAGAATAAATTCTCTTCCACCTTCCTTTATCTTTGCAAAGAAAGAAGAAAAAATGATATTGTTCATATAAAAAATTTCGGATAGTGGTATCTTTTAATCTGGACGATACAGGTTATGAGACTCCACAAGCTGAAACAACGCATTAAATACTCTCAATTCCTCTAATCCACTGAAAATTCCTTTCTTTTAATTTGACCCCTCTATTTAAGACAGCTAAGTTAAAAAAAAAGAGAACAGAAATCTAGATATTGAGATGTTCAGATAAAACAAATATTTATTCAGACACTAGACAGATAATCGATTGTGAATATAACAACTCCTCATAGGGCATCCTGCCTTACAGGTATGTATTGCTGCTTTCTTTCTTTCCGCGAGAGGTTTACCTTCAAGGAGGTACTACCACATTTCCTATAAAGAGATGGGGAATTGTTAGGTGGTGTAAACCTAATAATTAGAATTGACTGAGGAAGTGGCGTAGGACTAAAAGCGTCAATTCTGTATTATATTAGTAACTTGAATATCCGTGGAATAAAGAAAAAACTTATTCATTTATCTGAACTCCATCTAAAATTATGTACATATATATATAACTTTACGTATTTTAAAAAAAAAATTAAAATAAATATCAATGTAAATAATTATAAGATTATTTTTATATCATTGCAATTATTCTTAAAACAATTTATGGCATAAAATTTCGATATTGGTGGTACTCTTTCCATAGACGGACAACTCTCATAGCCGGGTAATTAATTTTTACAGTCCCAAGAGTGTCAGCCAAATCGATGTTTCTGTGTGTATTATATATATTAATTCTCAGCCTACGGTTAATCCCACGGTATCTTTTCAAGTCTCCCCTATATTAAAATTTTAGTTTGATTACAACAAAAAGTGTAATAAAAATTACTTGTATTTTAAAAGAACCTTATTTTTTTTCACTACAAATAACCTATGTATATTTTTAAAGGTATATGTATATGCAGCCACTAGTTAAAAGAAGTTATAACAATATACTGGCCGAAGTCTTTTGGACGTCACTGTATATTAAAACTCGAAAATCAACGCTTCACTATTTAATTATTAATCCTATGAGCGTTTGTCTCGGCATTTTCCGGACTATTTAGATTCGGGATTCACTGTATCAAAAAATCGGTTTTTCCATTTTATTAAATGGGAAAATAGAGGAAACAGAAAATTTCTGTACAATTTTACCCAGGGCTCAACGCTTGAAGTGCTAAAAGTTTTCACTAACATATACTTATATAAAATTTCTCATGATTTTTAACCCCCATGTAAAGTAACAAAAACGTAACAGAACAATTAAATTATTTCACTAAATCCCTTATTGTTTGTTGAATATAAAAATTTTCAATAAAAATGCTATGAATAGAAATTCAAATTTTCGAGGACGCAAAGAAGCTGGATGCACTAAATTTATACTTTATCTTCCGAAATATGTTAAAAATGAAAGAACAAAATATAATGAAATCTGAAAATCATATTTATTTTCGCATCGTTATGGAATAAAGACTACCCAAACATTACATAAGATGATCAGGTGATTTTTGATTCTCTCACTCTTAGTCAGCAAACCGTTGATGTTTGCAATAAGTTCGACTTTTAAAATTTACATCTTTAACTGAATCTAATTATTTCGCTTTTACAAAAGATTTCTTGAAGATAAATAGAATTTAAAGACTTAAGCAAGAATTTCCTTTACCCATTTGGATGCTCAAACCTCACAATTCCAAAATTTGGCATTGAGTGATTAATAACAGAATAAAAAAAGATATATTTGAAATCATCTTTAACTGGCAACCTCATAAGTCATCAGTTTATAATACGTAAAAACTTGGTGTAATATTTTTTTAGCTGAATTTTTTGTTAATAACTGACGTTTTACCCTAACATTTAATTTCTTTAAAGTATTATTATCTGATCACTGGTTCTCAATAAAAATTGTCATTTAAATTAGAGTTTCATTTTTTCATAAATTAAAATACTCTCATATATAAACTTTTTGTGTGCTATTTTAGCAATCTTTGAGCGAATTACCAGCTTCAGATGGTCAGTTCCCACAACAAAATACGTCAAATTTTAAGACTGAAACCGTCCCAGAAACCAGGCCAGACCAAATAAAGTCAAATCAAATGACGTCCAAGCTTCCATTAACTCTTCCAGATATTAACGAAATGAAATCTTCAGCAGAATATGTTACCATAGATCATGTTACTAAACCTGGGATGACTCCCAAAATAACCGATAATGTAAGAGATGAATTAGTAGAAGAATTGGAAAGCTTGCACAAGCTTTCTTCCTTAGAACCATTTGATAGAAGCATAACTGCACCTGAAACTAGCTCAACATCGGTAGAACTTGCAACGCAACCATCTTTAATAACGGAAAGAATTGGAGACAAGGAAAACGTAGTAAGTAAAATAATACATTATTTAAATTTACATATTTATTTTTACATACATTTTTACGGTATACATTGAAGTGTCAGAAGTGATGGGACAGTAGCAGATTCAAACAATCAAGTCTTTTATCGCATATAACTAGAAAGAGTATCATTAGGGTATTTTTGTAGTCCATTGATTCAGGTAAAACGTTGGTTTACGCAATTATGTCTGTAAGCCTGGTGTTTACGTGGAATGATAAGAGGTGAGAAAGAGATTAGACATAGTATCTCAGAAATTGTAAAAATTCAACATTCTTCTCAAGCTGGTGGACGGGCCATAAATTATATGGGTCGTTTTCGCGAAATGAACGAATCATTAAATCGATATTGTCATCTTCAGTTACTTGAAAACTGAGTTACTGTAACAGCGATTGATTTTCCCGGATGATAGTACGTCTTTTCACTGGGCCCACATTCTGGACAACTCCACTGAAAGATTTGGTCCCTTAAGTCACCCGACATGAATCAATCATACACATTTGGAAAAGAAAAAAAATGAAGTAGTTTAGATATATACGTCGCACTAGAGATGCACAATGGTTTATTAGAGAAGTTTTGGGAAGAAAGGATATCTACGGATGATCTGAAGACATGCCATCACAATGTAGATCCTCTGCAATGCAGAGGGATTACACTGAGCTGGCTTTAGTGCGATTTTCTGAGGTCCTGAATCAGACTTTGGAATTTCTCCCACATCATTCAGGGCATTTATATTCAAGCAGTATGAGGAGCAGTTTGAGGAAGATCATTGGTCTTTTCACTGTTCACTGCATCCTCAGGAGACACCTATACGTAATGGGTGTTGAATCTAATCCTCTTTGTAGAGTTTGTTTTCTTGAAGAGAAGACTTCACGACATATACTTTGTGATTGTGAGGCCTATTCTGATCAAAGATTTGAGCAATTAGGGCAACACTGCATTAAGACCTGGGAACTGCAAGATGTTCCTGTACGGTGTTTGCTGAATTTTATTTCAGCCATACGGCATTCTTGCTAATCATGACTTAGGGTTTGGGTGCAATAGACCTCTGGTCGATGTGCTAAACCTCTAAATCTATCTACCTAATTTCGCAATTCATGATGAAAAACTACAAAAGCATTAAATCTAATATTAAATATATGAATCAAAAATTAAATTTTAGATTAATTCTATTATTAAACCACAATAACATTTAAATTAGCACATTTGTTTTTTACTCATGAGAAAATTTTAGTTTGTCAGGTGAGTGATACATTCACAATTTTGATACATGAACTATTTCAGTATTATCTTTATTATGAATATTCTTTTTATTTATTTTGTAATTAACATCAGAGACTTTCAAGAGTTATGTTTGGTCCTCGTTTACGTTAGTTAACTCTTTATCCTAAACTATTCTATTACAATTGGTGATTCATTTTATTCATTATTTACCTTTATTTGTCATGTTAATACCAAAATATTTAAAAAAATTTGTAAAATTTCCTGAAGCTGGGAATTTTTTTTCTCCATTGTCTTGAATTTACATAATTCTGTCAACATGACTCTGACAATGTAGTGCTCTTTTACCATAATCAGTTTCAAGAATATTTGAAAATTCAAGATAATTTTCAGTTTTGTTACTTAAATCTTTATATTTAAGTCCATTTTCTGTTTTATTTTTCTTCAACTTTACTTTGTTTCATTTTTGAAGCTCTTATTTTTTTATGTCTAAAATATTCTTTTCTTTAACATTTCATGAATATTTTCATTATTTGTTTGTTATTTGATTTATCAAACTTTTTCTTCTTTCTTTCATTTTTCATTTCCATTTATGTTTTATTTTCTTTATTGGTATTTTTATTGCCATCATTAACCTGGATTTCAGGAGAAATGTACAAGGACAATTGCTTTTAAAATCAGTAAAAGTGATTAGTTTTCTCCGATTTTGCATAAGAACCTATTTAACCCAATCAATCACTAATTGAAATCCAATACATTCTTTTAGACCTAATATGGCATAAGGTAGATCAGTATTTAAAATATAAAATTCAACTGACCTAGCTATATGACAAATTTTTAAATTGTTAAAATAAATAAATTGTTTCTTTTTGGAACATATTAATTTTTCGATAATTTTAGTTTGAACATTTTTTAAAGTACTTTTTGTGTCGATATTTTAATTGGTAGTTTTATTAGTCACAATCTGGTATAAGGCAGTTCTAATATTTAAATTTCTACTTTTAACGTATTTTGAGTGTATCCGGATACTATTAATTCTCAATCTGTGCTTGGTCATTTTCGTATCCTAAGACTGGAATTGATTTTCAGCAGTAAGAAACTTGGTTTGTTTATGGAAATGTGTGAGCTAGGCTGTGAACTGCACATTAATTAAACATTAATATGTCTGGTTTTTCTTTATTAAAATTCAAATCTGGAAAACTAGTATTTAATTCATTTTCCAAGTTTTTTTGTATTGGTTTGAGCATTTTCTGAAACTTCCATATTTAATTTATAATTTTTGCACATTGTAAGGGAATTCAATAATTAATAATTAGAATTAGAAGAAAAATAAAAATAATTCAATTACTTATGTATCTTAACCCTATACACAATTTTTAAAACAAAATTTACATTTTATTTATACAATCAATAAATTATATACACTGTGAAATATATAATACAATAAAAAGTTAATAACTCCTTTAAATAGTTTTTATAGTTATAATAATGATTTTACTGAATCAAAATAAAAACTTTTCTGCATTCAATAATGAAAAAAAAAATTTGAAAATAATTTTAATTGCATAAATAAACAAATCTGTTAAACAATGCAAATAAGTTGAAAATATATATATATATTTTCAACTTATTAACTTTTTCAACACACACACACACACATATATATATATATATATATATAATCAAATGAAATATCAAAGATGAGAAGAAAAAATTCAATTAAATCAATTGTTGAAATACTTTGAAAATCGTGATATATTTTGTAATTATTATTAGCACAAAAATATGAATCAAAATAAATAAAATCCTTAATTATAAATATAAATACCAAATACCATTAATAAAAATCAATACTATTTTTAGATAAATATATACACTAGTAAAACTTATTTCAAAAACAATAAATCCAATTTAATAACTTCTCTCCACAAAGTAATCCTCCATAATTATGATATTAATATTGAATAACATTTCTATTTACTAAATTAAATGGAAATCAATTCAACAAACACTTCTTTGTTCACAAGTTTTCACTGATAAAAATTATATTTTTTCACCACAAATTGATAGCGAAAAGTACCGATCCCAATAATTTTTTTATAGCTGTACCACAATCTTGTAGAAGTCTAATGATGTCAGTCCAGCAAGCAGGACAAACAGGCATAGGATTTAAAAAATGAGCAAATTAATTTTATTTAACCATCATAATCAAATAATGAATATCTAAGTGACACAAAATCACAGTGCTCAGGGAATTCTTAATAGTTATAATTGATCTATTAAATAGGTAGAAGGAAAAGTCGTTCTCACGGTTCAGAAAAAGGGAAAAATCAAAAATGTTTATTAATACATAACTTGAAGCCAAAAATAGATTAAAAGACAGGATGTGAATATTAAGTGTGAGAAAGAGTGTTTAGATTAGAATAATAAATTAAGAAAAGAATTTGGATAATGGAATAATATAAAAAGATTAGTTGAAGCTTTTTATGTTACATATATACATATATTAGTCAAAAGCTTTGTTTTTCTTCCTTTTTTTAGATATTTTATTTCCTTTCCATGTGTAGTGAATAATTACTATAATTTTCCATAAAATAAAACTATTAAATAATATCAAATTTTTAATTTACACATTAATTTAAATATTTTTCAAAAGTATAAAATCCAGTTTTGGTAATAAGCTTAATAAATAAACTAAAAACAAAAGAATGTTAAAAGTTAATTTCGAATAAAGATGTATCAAACTGAATTTAAACACACAAATTTAGTCTAGAAAAAGATTTATTGAAATCAATTTTCATAAGAAGTTTTTGTATCAATCATATCTTTTAAACATAAAATTTTCCATTATATAACCTACTAAGAAATGTTTTACATGAACACAAAATATTAAATTTTTTTAGATCTAACTATTTTTGCTGATATGTTACAAATCTGTTAAATATTTCAGGAACAAGAAAAAGAGAAACTTAAAGAAAGGATAGCAACTGAAGTGAGCAACTACAATTTCTATAATTAAATATAAATGAATTATGGTGCTTTTTTCCAGGATAATTCAGGAATAAAAGAATATGAAAGTTTTAAACTTAATAAAGGTTTATGAGTTTTATGACTATTCCGAAATTTTATAATTTAATAAGAATGAGTTCAAGAAGTGTTGAATTTTTTTTCTCACCCATAAGTGTAAAGTTAAATTAAATCAGAATTAAAGCATTTATTTAATATTAGTTTTTATTTATTGATTTGTAAAATAAATGAATAAAAACTTGGTATTGTATTTGCAATCATGAAGTCGAAAATGTAACTATTAACAGAGACCTGCTAAGCACAGATATTGCATCAGTATTTAAGCCAGGGACGAATTTTGAATACATAAGTACCTTGTAAAAAAGGTAGGGTATTCTTTGTGCTTGCAGTAAGAAAAAAACATAGAAACTGCATTTAAAATAAAGGTAACCAATTTAGTTCTACTATCCAGTTAGCCTATATCATAATTAATGCCAAGATGCAAAATGGAAAAAAAAATTCAGAATTAATCAAATATATGGGGAAATTGACCAAAACAAACAAGAGGGACAAATGTTGGTAATCTTTGGGATAAGGTAAGTGAAGGAGAATAAGAAATGAAAATTCAATAAACAGAATGAAAAGGGTGTAATCATTGCTTTAAATAACGTGAGCAATGCATAAATGAATGGGAAAATGAGGGATGATACATTAAGACTATAAAAATTTTAAACTTATTACATGATTAAAAACTTCATACGCTTTAAAAATATACAAAAATGATATTACAGTTGTGAATATAACGAAACGAAAATGATTTGAAGAAAAAAAACGTAAAGTTACCAATGAAACATGGAAAAATAAAGGTAAGAAACAATAATTAGAAAAACCACAGTAGCCAGGAGAGAAAAAAAAGATGGAACATAACACGAAAAAACACAACAGCCACGAGGAAATCAGGGGTAAAATGTATTTCCACATGTTATCGATAGGTAGAAAGAAACTAATGAATCAGGGGATCAACATCAAAATGAAAAAAAATAGGATACCAGAATATCAAGGTGGGCTGATGTGAATGGGGTGGAAATAAATTTTGTCATTTGTAGCAAATAATTTTTGTTTTGCTACATTCTTATCTGCCAAGTCTTGAAGATGGGCACCTATTTTTGAAGCAAAAAAACATGTCGAGTGTCATTTCATTTTGGTATATTTTTGAAGCGTATAAGTTTTCAATCAGGTAATATCTTACCACTTCAGTTTCTTGGAAATATTTATTTAACCTCAAACATAATCAATTTTAAATACATAAATACAACTTTAACCTCTTCTAACTTCCATTGTTTGATGAAAAAATGCTCAATGTGTTCTTCATATTTGAAAGGCCTGGAGTAATATGATAAGCCAACCACATTTTAAATTTGTTTAGGAGAGTGTCTTTGGTTAAAAATGCTATGATTTCTATGTATGTAGGTAATAAGATGTTTCTCCCTATTGTGCTGTTAACTAGCAAAAAATTTAGAATTTTTCTTAGCATCTATTTAGAAACAATGCTAAGAAACATTAGATGTAAGAAAAGTCATCTCTAAAATAAGTGGAACTTATCACTAGTTTGCTCCATGGTCTTTTTTTTACCCTTAGCAATCCAATTACCTAAAAAATGCTAATTAAACAAATTAAAGTACAAAAACATTTTAAAATTAGCATAAAATTTTTTCTGTAATAAATAAAAATTTCTAAATATTAAAGTAGAAAATGTGCGTGAGGACCTCAGCAGAGTCAACTAACTGCTAAGGTTTCATTGACTTATAGATGAAAAACCTTTCACTTTGACTTAATACATTTTTAAATATGTGTCATGAAAACATTTCTTATAACCTTAAAAAATAATATTTTTTCCAACTCTAGGTAGCTGAATTGAAAAAATTAGGAGAGACAGAGGAAAATATTTTAAGTGCAATGCATATTGAAGGTTTTAAATCAGATGGTAAGTCAAAATTAAAATATTTTTCATCTAGATACAAAATGAATAATAAATATTGTTCAAGAAAAAAAAACTAAAGTCATTGTTTCAAAAGAAGCATGTTCTCCTTAGTGAGTTTTAGGATTACATTGCAAATAAAAATCAGCACATTAATTTTAGCATTATTCTACTTGTTTTGAACTAAATTTAAAATACATAATAAAATAAATTATGCACAAATTACGACTACACTTTTTCGATAAATAAAGCCCAAACAATATCAAAAGAGCACAAATAATGAAAAATAGTTTATCAGTTTGATGTAATATTAATACTTAAAATGCAAAAATTCACATTGATAGAATAATCTGTTTAGAGTAGTTATAGACCATGGTAAAATTTGAAAAATTGATTAATACAGCATTTATAACTACTTAAAACAAACATAGAATTTTAATTCTATTTTGAAAACTATAACAGTGAAATGATTGAGAAGCATATGAAAATAAATTACAGGCTAATATGAGTTTTGAACACCCGATATCATAATTTGAAAAATTATCTCTCTCCTCTGCACCATGACAGCTATATATTCACTGCAATCACTTTTTCTTTTTAATAAAATTCTTAATAAGAAGGGGATAGCTTAGGAATTATTTGATTGGCCGCAAAATAATATATTTGAATTCAGCATCGCAAAATATATAGATTTTTTCCCCAAATTTAAATATTATGTAACAATTTATGAGCTTTTACACTACAATCATTAAAATGTTAACCAATGACTAAGTTTTTTCTTCTTTATGCACTGCTTCATAATTGTTTACCTTGTTTCTTTGTTAGTTCAGTCTGACATTTCTCTAAAATAAATTCAGAGATAATAAGTAGAACCAAACATTTATAACATAAAAAAAGACTGTGTGTAACATCCTGTAAACATTGCAAATGACAGATCATAGTTGATTGTATATCTCTAAACAAACTGCTATTTTAATTCCAATCCTCTTTCATTTATTTAATATAAAACCTGCGATATTTTTCAGGCAATAAAATATTAATTACAAATGAAACGAAGGAAAGTGAAAACTTGAGTGAGCATGCTCCAATGAAACGAGTTGTAGATGAGAGTAATGTCCACTACTGGAATCAGCCAGCAAACCACATCCCAGAACCACCTAGACAGATATATATGAACAATACATTTTTAGGTATGCACATTAATTTGCCACCAGTTAACCCACAAATGTTAAGAAGGCAATTCCACAATGGGTTACATAGAAACATGGCTGGGAACAATTACCCACTTTATCATGACGGTCTTAAAGGTACTATACAGAAACTACAATCTCAAGACAACCAAAATTTCTTGCAAAGGAATCATATGTATGGAGCTGCTGATTTTCGCCAACAAGGAAGACCTGACCAGCAGCAAGGACAAAGAGGATTGAATCTTTACGGTGTTCCTTCTCAGTCTGATAGTAGATACCCTCCAGACAACCCAGTGCTCAATCACTATGTTAATCCAAATTTCAGACCCCTATATATGCCCTATCCTCTAAATCAAAATATGGAGCAGAGGAGTAATGTTTTTAATGATACAAAGTCAACTACATATTCCATGAGCAAGCTCCCAACTGAATTCAGTGAAGAAATGAAGAGGCAGTTAAGAGATGGTAAAGTCATACTTCTATCAGATAGTGTTGTTCCCTCAAACTTCACTGCAGATGCAGAGAAAGATGGAACACAGAAAACCAAAGAGTTTAAAAATGACAAGAATTAATTTGCAGCAAGAATACTATATTTTTCATGTTCATCTGCAAGTAAAAAAAAAGGAAAAAAGATAAGAAAATATCTTAAAGCCTTTCCATTTCATATTTTCTATCGAAGGATGAGCACAATTACGTATTACTTATGTCTGAAGATAGATTTGAATTTTAAGTTTAGATTATATAATAGATATAGAAATCAATTACTGATTTCATCAACATTCTATAAGAAGTTTTAATACCAAAATTCATGAAATTTGAATTCCTTTAAACAGCTATGTAATCGCTGACTAATGAATTTAATAAATACTTATCCAAAAATTGTATCTCACTTTTTAAGCCTTGGACCTAGTTTAAACTTCTTTTCACAATGAGCTATATTTTAAAATACCTTTCTAAACTGCAAAAAAGACAATTTTCTCAGTAAATTTTTAAAGCGGAAAAATACAGGACACAACTTTGAGACAAAAAAATTATGAATCAGCATAAAGATATTTAATATCTTCCCAAATCTATTTAATGTGGTGCAAATTGTGTCACATCTAGATAAAATTTCTTGACTTCAGATTTTTGTAATTATCATTAGAAATAACTCAACCATTAACAAGCAAACACAAAAGATTATCTTATCTGCTCTTTTATCAAACATAAATACATAGTTTCTTAAATGTTTGTCAAAAGCATCTTATAACAGAAAAAAATTGAAAATTGGCTACAAAAAAGAAAAGAAAAACACCTTGAAATGCTATTCAAATTAGTAAAAATTGAATTTAAAATTAAATTTATTGTAAAACATAATAAAATAGCAAGGAAAAAATTTGAAGCAATTATTTATTGAAAAGTCCGCATTATCTGTAAATAATTGCATTTCTTAGGATAATCCGAATTAGACAATATTGCAGTTGTTTTTGTAGTTTGCCGTTTGTTTTTAACTATATTTATAACTATAAATTATTATAAATTTCAATAAATATAAAATACAAACTAGTTTTTGCATGTATTATAACTATATTACAACAGTAGAAAATAAACACGTATCAAAACTGCTATTCACCAAGAGGTAATTAGTAGTCGGGGAAGATTGTATTTTAAAATCAAAAACTAAAACTAAATTTTTAGACTTCCTATGTAAGTCAACCTACTAACATCAAGATATTTTCAATTGTTTAGTTTTGTTTGTGTATGTTTAAAGTGTCATCATTGTTCACGAACAGATAATTTTTTACGGCATAACTAAATACTACTGTGCCCTTTACAGTATTCTCGTACCATCGAATAATGCACAAACGCTTTTGAACAGAGAATTCTGATATTTATAAAGTAACAATTTCAATCAGTAATACATTACAAAATAATCATATTTAAATTTAAGGGAATAGGTAGTAGTACAATAAAATATTATTAAAATAAAAAATAATATAAATCAATAAGAACAAAATAAATAATTATTTTATAAGTCTTGAATATGGCACTGAACTAGTAGTAGAATTAATTAGCTAAACTTAAATACATCTGTACAGCCTTTCACACAATGACCTGTAATTCTCTAATACATTTCATACTTCAGCCCTCTTTTTATGCCTCACAACTATAAAAGAACTAAAATTAAGTTTGAAAAACCATCATGAGCTTTTTCTATATAGATTATTCAACAAGTTATGGGATATTAACTAAAAATATCTGTTCCAGCTTCAAATTTAATTAATATTTCACATTAGCTAAAAGTAAATGCTTTTTTATGAAGACTGTTTTATAAACAGTATATTTTATAAAAGCACATAAGAAGCTAATTCTAGTAGATATTTAATAAAACAAGCTTAAAAACTAATATTTTTATTAAAAACAATTTTTAAATACATTTCTATATTTACATACACTCTGAATTGCATTAAAAATGGATTTCATATGAAAATAATCAATAATTACATTGTGAATGTGACTCTTTGGAATAACAAATAAAAATAAAACACACTTTAGTTGAAGAGGATGAAAATCATCATGTTCGCAAATGAGTTCTACTTCGCTCCAAAATTTCTTTTCTTATTTTGGGGTAATTTGGGTATTTACTTAACACCTGCAAAAAAACAATTATTTCATAATATGAAAAAATATTTTTTACAATATGATAAATTGTAAAATATAATTTCTCTAAACATATAAAAAAGAAGAATAAATACAACTGATAAACAATTTTGCAACATAAAATTAATTTTCCCCATGTTATTGAACAGAGAAACAGTGTACAAGGGAAAAACAGTAACCCAAATTTGCACATTAACGTAACAACCAAAGAGATAAAACTCTGAACTACTCTTGAACTCTAACAGTTAAACATGAAGTGCAAAAACAAATTTGTTCTTACCATTTGACTAACATCAATGGCATCAGCGTATCGTTTGGCTTTCATATTGTTAAATGCCAGCTTATAACCTGGAAATATTTTTAAAAAAACAACATAAACAAAGCATAACATTTTCATACAGTCAACAGCTAACACAATGAAGTGAAATTCAAGATAACATTTTTTCCAAATCTTAGTTCATTAACATAAATGATCACATATTAATCAATGTTATTAATATTGACAAGGTAAGTTAACATTCTGTTTCCAAGCAAAATGAATGTAACATTTTAACAAAACGTTATTGAAAATAATTAAAATCTAACAAATTTTAATTATTTTCAATATAATGGTAACAAAGCATTTTGAATGGTTACTGTGTAATTTTTTGATTATATATTGATCAACGAGGAAAACAGCAATCGTAACTCCGAAAAAAATGTATGTGGGTTATGTTCATTTTGATGACACTGTACCAGTGCAAATGAAATTTAACTTATTAAGTTCAAACTTCAAAAAAAAAAAAAGATCAGTTATCGCTGTTCTTAGACACAAATTTTAAGACATAAGATTTGCTTATAATTTTTATTAATCAATAACTCACCAATAACAGGATTTAGTTTGCTTGTAAGCAGCCAGGCTTTCTCAAAGTGTTTTACAGCTTCCCGGTAACTCTGTTCCTTTTCTGAGATGTAACCATATAAATCATATGCTTTCGTACAAGACTGAAATTAATCATATTAGTTAAAAATAAACATAAAAGAAAGTAGGACTATATTAAATAACAAAGTTTAATGATCTCAGAAATCATAACAAACTCACTTTATTAAAAAGCAACACTTTATCAAGCATTTCAGATGCTGAAGGATATTTTCCAGCCTGCAAAGCAAAGCAAACTTAAATAAATGACACTTCAAAATTTAAAACATTATCTTTTAAACAGGAACATGAACTATCAAAAAATGGTGTGGTTTTAACAAGATATTCAAAAAATGCTATTCTATTTTCATAAAATTTTGAAAGCATAATACTACTACTATACTAATAGTAATGAAATTTTTAATTTTCACTTTAAAACAATAAAAAAAATTAGGTATTAAAAGAAATATATTGATATGATAAAACAAAAAAATTAATAAAAAAAGCGATTTAATTTCTTTTTAAACTGATTAAAAATAATATGAATAAGCACATTTTATACTTTTTCTTTATTTAGTTTTATATGCTTTAAAATCTTTATTTTTTTCTTAAATTTCTTTTTGTATGAGGCATTTTTTGCACTTGTTTACATTATAAATCTATTATATGAAAGAGTTCATTTTTTAAACCTGCCAAAGTGTTAAGATTTCCCTTATTTATAACTTTCCACTTTATAATTGCAATGCACAAAAGCATCAAACTGATACATTTATTTATTATATTTGAAAGTTTTTCAATAAAACAAAACATTTTTAGAAAATAAAATTCAATAATTAAAATTTGAGGTTGGTTCATCGAACTTGAGTATAATTACAATTCATTAATTTTAGCATGTTTATCACATTCTAAACTAGTGGTTAATAACAATTGTTACAGATGGACATTTCAACTGCATTTTCTCCAAATCACACCACTTTTGTGATAACTTATATTAGTTTTTTGTTTTTAAAGACAAAAAAAAACAGTTGTATTAACTATAATAAAACTATGTATCATAATGATATGCTTTATTGTAGATATAGCTATATTTTTACTGTACCTTTATATAGACATCTGCAAGAAGAAGCCACGCTTTTTCTAAGTACTCTGCATCCTAGGTGATAATAAAGACATTTTTAATACTGGAAACTGTGCTCTTAACTTAATTTTGGAAAAGGAATCCTTTTTTAAAAAATAAAATCCGTGAATTGTCCTCATGATGTAATCAGCAAGACAATTATGCTTTACAGCTTCCCGGTATCTGTAAAGCTACCGGGAAAATAATTATGCTAGACGATATATGCTTTTTTTATTTTAAATTACAATATTTCTATCAGAAAATTATAAAATCTACACCAATCCTAAATAATAAGGGAAACAAGTGAACATGATAAAATACAACCAATGCATTAAAAGTTAAAAAATGAAAATCATTAGTTTAATCGAACAATTTTATCATTGTCAAAATAATTTTATACTCTATTCAAAACCAGTTATTCTTGCGGTTTTATTTTCGATATACATTATTGTTGTAATTTGCATTCAATATATCGTCATTTTGCTAAAAAATTTTTCAAAAATAAAAAATTTTTGTTGTTGACTGCTGTAAAACAATTTATAGGTTCATAAATATTTTTATGCATTTATAACTCATTCATTCAACTGACAATTTGCTAAAATGTCCTTCAATGATTCACCCATAAACAAATTCACTGCTATTTTTTGCTGACTAGTATTAATTCACCTATTCACTGATTGGTATACTTTCATTCCCTATATTTACTTTATTCACTCACTGTATTTAAATTCAGTCATGACAAAGCCACAAGTGTACTTGGAATAAATTGCTTATGAAATATACTATCTTAACAATAAGCGTTTAAAATAAATTAAAAATAACCTTGTATATAACACATTAATTAAATAATGGATAGTCGTTATAATAATATTGAATGATTATGCCCATTAAAAAATTTTGGGAAAAGATTGGATATTCTCTACTCAGATTAATATTGATATATAAAACTATATATAAAAATAAATAAATAAAAACCTACATTCAACGTTGAATACAAAAATAATAAACTTTTAGATAAATAAGATGAATAAAGAAATTATCGAGCTGCCATTGGCAAACATTTTTAGAGAAATAAAAGTCTTACTTTAGTTTCCCAGAAAAATCTTTTGAAAATTATTTTAAATATATAGTAAAGAAAAAATTTATAAAACATTGCAAAAGTGTATGTATGTTTCTTGTTGTTAATTTAAAATTTACTAAGATCTGGATAATAATCTTGGAAGTCAACCTTTTGCTCTTGTTTGTAAATAGTCTCAATTTCTCAAAAAATCTGCCGAGATTTGGATGAAAAACTGAAATTTAAATTATATTTTTAGAGGAAATAGAAGCATTTTCTACGAAAAAATATTAAGATTTGTATTAGCGAATTCCCATTATATTAAGAGTACGTTTAATACACAGGCTCAATTGAGAGAAAAATTTACACAAAATTGAAATCATTCTCCAAGGTCACACCTCTCCCCTGTTTTTTTTCTTGCAATCACCTTTTGAGAATATTAGCTTGTTTGCTGGATGGTTTTTGAACCTGAAATTTCCACAGAGAAGAACCTCCCTGGAAAATACTGAACTCATTCTATTCAATTTCAAACAAGTGGTTTTCCTGCTGCACTCTTTTTTTCTGTAAAACCTTTACTTAGTAATATTTTAACCCTAAAAAAAGTTACCCAGAGAATATATAATTTAAGAATACAGTACAGAACCCGTTATCCGGAAATCAGAAAAACGGAACGAAATTCAATAAATTTTCCCGTCATTTTTTTTAAAAAAGAAATTTTTCTCATAAGATTTTAGGATTTTTCTTTCTTTTTTGAAAAATGTTTAACTTACCATCATTTTGGAAATAATCATTAGTGTATTACTCCATCGTTTTTTTCTTCTTTTTAAGATTATTTCCAAAAAAAAATTTTTTTTAGTTGCGTTTAACAATAAAAAAACGTCTCTTTGTAGCGATTCAGAAAACCGGAATAGCGATGTTCCGGATAATCGGTTCCCTACTGTATATACATATATAATATAGAATATAAAATAAACTATGAATATATTTTTTAAGTAAATAATACTTTAAAGGAAGAGGAAATAAATAATTTACAGAACCTTAAATCTGGGTCTAGTTCGGCACCCCTCCCCTTACTTGGTGCTACAGGCGCCGGCCCACCCCTTTCAAACAAAACATTTCACAACATTTCACAGTAATAAAAAATGCTGAAATAATACTTTGATATAATAATTTTCAAAATATGATGAATAACAAAATAATAATACACATTTGTCTAGTATCCCAAGGTAGAAAAAAAAACTCAAACACTCCTAAATGATGTTGAGAAAGATTTTATAGAACAGAACTGTATTTTTAATAGAAAAGTATATACAATGCAGTTTAGTTGATATTCTTTAAATCAGTAAATCAAAAAGTTAAAATAAAATATCTGATCAAATCATACTCAAACAATGCCTAATTTAACAGTCGATTAAGAGCTATTTTCATTTTATATCCTTGTGATATAGCATTACTTTTTAATATATGGTGAAAATTTGGAATGACCTACACAAGTTTGAATTAATTGAATAAGTTTTGATAAATGAAAAGAAAAAAAATCTTGTTTTTTGTGGTCAAGACTCTGATAAATGCTCATATTTCATTGATAAAAGTTATATGGTTTTGAAAACATTCATATAATAATTCTTTATAATAATTATAAAGAAGAAAATAATACTCAATTTTTTAAGACAAAGATTTTATCAAGACTTTAGAATAATTTTCACAGCATAAACTTTAAATTTAGGATTTTGAATAAAATATGAAATACAATTAGAGTGATATAAAGGAATTCTGCAGCACAAATAAACATTTCATACTCTTTTAATGTAAAAAAAATCTTGCCATAATAAAGAAATGTCGTTTCATTGCAAATCAGAATTTGTTTCCCAAACAGTGTTTTTTCCCAAACAAAAATCTGTTTCTTTACATGCTACCTCTTATTAAAAAAATATATAGATCAGGATTTAAAAGTCCTTAATTTACTTCTTCATTAATTTTTAAAATTTGATCAAAAGTTTAGTGCAGGAAAAGACAAAGGTCAAAACAACGTTTACTGTAAGTTACAAATTACTGCTTCTTGCAGATGGGGTTTCATTTAGTTGTGGTGTTTTGATCTTTAGAAGAAATTCTTTAGTTTTTTTATTATTCATTATTTTAAGATCAGTATTTTGGTTGTTCACAGAAACTTAAATTTTTTCTTTTAGCATCTTATTTTAAGCAATAAGTTCTCATTCCTTCATTTTCCATCTCAAAAATCTTACAAGTTATGCCTTTGAAATATCATAATTTTATATTAACCCCTTCTTTATTGGCATCGCATCTCATACGCTTGGTGTTCTTATGCTCGTAAGGTCGGCGTTGCATGCTTATGCAACGAAGATAAGAACTGTATCATTGAAATAGAATTTGTCACTTCTTACATGTTGCTTTATATCCTGAGATTAGTTTTGTATTTCTGAATACTGCCTAGAGGTGGGGCAACTATTCCCACTTTCCCCACAATTTTTGCAGTGAAATATCCTGTCTTGAACTGAAATCAAAGTCATTTTGGATTTTCATTCATTTTGCTTTCCTTGGTGTTACCATTTCATTTTCGTAATAAATGTGATTTTTAAGCCTGATGCAGAAGACTGATTGTGAAGCTGTTCTAAGGATAAGGTTGGAAAATTATTTTCCAAAATATTTTTACCTAATTTTAGTAATTATTTTATGCATATATTGGTCTTAAGCACCTTAAAGCAATAGAGTTAATAAATATGTTATAACAGTGTATTTTTTAAGATAATTGCATTGCAGGAAAAACTGGAGATCAGTGGAAGAGACATCACATATTTCACCACCAGTAGGTCAAGCAAAAAACTGCTTACTGACTAAAATAATTTGCATTTTTGATTTAGGATAGAAGATATACTAATTTTCAGCAATAAAAAAAAAACATTTCTTTTCGGTTTGGAAAAAAAAATCCAACAGAGAAGGGGTTAAAAAATTTAAATTCATAACAAGGAAAGTATTTAAGTCATAAAATTACAAAATATCGACTAAAAACTCCATTTTTTCTCTAGTTTGAATAAATATTTATAAGAAAAGTAGTCAAATGTCTTCAAAAATGAATAAATATTACCATGAATGACCAAAATTTGGAGACTGACGACTTTCACCGGGAATGTCCAGAAACACACAGTCGCTTTAGTTAATGTCCAGAATATTTGTTATGTACGATTTGATATTAATTTATTCATTGCTATTTTAAATATTTATTCAGTACTTTAACATCCGATTAGGATAGATTAGAAAAAAACATCAGTGTAGAAAATATTAAGCAAATGTATAGTGAGCAGTGGCCCTTGACCTTAAAATAACATCAGTATAGGGAATACTGGGCAAATTTTAACTATAAAATTCATATTAAATTAGATCTAACCTATATTTTGGAGATTTATAAAAACGACAATATGATTGTCAACAAAGACTAGAGAAAGTTTACAGCCACCGATTTCGTTCTTCAGCAGTGAGATATATACACTACTGTGGAAAATAGGCAGTAAATCCTGATAACATGTATCTTATAATGGCTGTAAAGGCAAAAAAAAAAATTGTTAACTACACAAACATGTTGTATAACCAAACAATCAGTATAAGTAGAATTGAAATTTAATCAGTACAATAAAAAATAATTTATATTTAATAATTTAACTAATTTTACAAAAATGTTTCAAATTTTTTTCAATGCTGCAAGCTTAAAATCAAAAGCATTATATATTTAATTAAATATTTAAAAACTACCAACACTTACACTAAAATTCCAGGTACTTTTAGCAATTCGTTTCAACTGATTTCGAGCCCGAGGAGTTTGTTTCAACCTTAAGTATGCCATTGCTGATCCAAGAATGGCTCCTGCATGATCTTTCTAAAGAGAATAAAAATGAGTAACAAGAAGAAAAAAATTTCCATCAAAATTCAAAACGGTCTAGTAAATATTTGTGGCAGAAGACACATTTGTCAACTATGCTCAAACATTAAAATAATTATTAAAAGTATTTGTCAAAACTGTTTTAAAAGCACACAATATATAGCCAACACTTACAGATTAATACCAGAGGGTATTAAAGCTTCCAATTTGCTACTCTTTACCAATCCCAAAGAAAAGCTAAAAAATTATTTTTGATGACAAAATCTAGAGGAAAAAACCAATTGTAATCTAAGATTCATTTAACTTCATTTATAACTTCTTATTCTTAATATTCTAAATATAAGCAAATTAAAATTGCTTATTGAAGGTGGCTCTGTATTCATAGAATTAGTGTTTCGTATAATTAATCTTTTAAGCACAAAAAAAATATTATTTTCTAAACATTTTCATATGTATGTGGGATGCCATTGAGTTTTCTATTGCACAGCAGTATTTTGGGTGCCAAGTTTCCGCTTCCCTCTTCCAGATGAAAAAGAATGACACCCCTAGCACAAGCGGAACAATAATACTTAACAAAACAACTTAATGAAATAAGAAAGACAAATATATTTAATGGTGTTCATCAGCGGAACTCACTCAACACCATAAAAATTTATCAAAATGTGTAATAACTTAAATTGATCCTCAACAAATTCTAAATTACCTTCTTATACTATTTTATGTGTATATTTCAAAAATTAATTCTCACTCATTATTAAAATAAAAGAAAAATTTGTTATTTAGAAAAAATAATTTAAGGCATGCCAAAAGACAATCTCTGTGCATAAGCTTTTTAATAAAAAGTAAACTAAAAAAATTATTAATTGATAAACAATTTGAAGCTTTTTTTCTATAATTTAAACTGAAAATTTTGAGAAAATGGACATTTAAATAAAAAAAGGTATTTATTAAAAATAATTTTAAAATTTAAAATAATTTAATTTATTAATATACCCCCACCTCTAAAAAAAGAGAAACTTATAAAAAATCTAACCAGTAAAGGCCTGGTTTCTTAAGACAAGTGCCTTCTCTGGGAGTCAGCGGGAAGATGTTGTACCGCTGACGCCAACAAAATACTGTTTTGTTAGCTCAGAGTGAGCTGTCTGTTCAACGCAGACATTATCTCGCATTGCGCAGGCGTTAATAGCGTAAATAAATATTTATTTTAAATTTGTATTGATTTCGTCATTGTGGACTAGTGCTTTAGAGAACAAACATAAAAGAAGGACATAAAAGAACAAAAAATTTCCTTTTTGGAAAAAGAAAAAAGGCTTATGATTGTTAAAAAGTGTCAGGAAAATAGACATTGCAGCAAAAAGGGACGTTTGAATCTGGAGCTTTGTACTACATTAAATTGATTCAATTTAATACTGTGAATCATCAGGTGAGTCCACCTTCTTGGTCATGATAGGCAATGTGCATGCACAATTCCTATCCAGTTGCACACATTGCATGACCTTTACTCATGCAGGGGCAAATAATCTATTTTTTCAACTTGTAAAGGCCTGTACATTCTCTGGGCGTCAGCGGGAGGTTGACGTACCGCTGACACCAACAAAATACTGTTTTGTTAGCTCAGCGTGAGCAATTGAACCAACGTTGACATTATCTCGCGTTGCGCATGCGTTAATAACGTAAACTAATATTTATTTTGAATTTGTATTGATTTTGTTATTGTCGACCAGTGCTTTAGAGAACAAATAATGACTTTGTCTAAGAAAAAACACATTATACCTTAGCTAAATGAAGAAGAAGCTATGTTTAATGTTAAAATCAGAATTTTGGCTGATTTCAATGCTCTGTTGAATGTTGTCCGCCATTGCTTCTGTCGTTAATGTTACGTTGTAATCCAACTGCAGTTGATTCGGACGTCAGTCATCGTTCAAGCTGAGCATTGGATGACGCATGCTGTCTAACTCACAAATACAAATTGACCAATCAGGGGTTAGCGCTCGCTTCAAGCTAACGTTTTGTAATGCCAACCTGTCCTAAGAAACCAGGCCTTTAGATATTATAATGTCCACATTAGACAATGCAACCAAGTTGAAGGATAGTGATGCCATCATAGTTATTTTTTCACTATTTTTATGTTAGATTCCTTGTATAGTCTCTTTTTGATTAATTAATTAATATTTAGAGTACCTAGATGGTATTGATTTCCTATATATATATATTTACAATTATGGTACAGTACAGAACCCGTTATCCGGAAATCAGAAAACCGAAAATCCAAAAAACCGGAACGAAATTCGATACATTTTCCCACCATTTAAAAAAAAAATTTTTTTTCCTCATAGGATTTTAGGATTTTTCTTTCTTTTTTGAAAGATGTTCACCTTACCATCTTTTTGGAAATAATCATTAGTGTATTACTTCATCGATTTTTCTTCTTTTTAAGATTATTTCCAAAAAAAAAATTTTTTTTTAGTTGGGTTTAACAATAAAAAAACGGCTTTTTGTTGAGATTCAGAAAACCGGAAAAATTAGTTATCCGGAATAGGGATGGTCCCGATCGTTCTGGATAATTGGTCCAACCGTACAAGAGAATCAAAAATTGCTCACAAAATATCGAAATAAAACTTGTTCTTTGCAACATTTTTTCTTATCATGCAATTTTATCATTAACTCCATTTTTTCAATATCTTCACAAGATAATTTCACTTTACTACGTAATTCCCTTTTTTAAAGTCAAATTTAAAACTGCATCTTGAAAATGGAAGATTAAGTTGCACACTACCAAAAATTGGTTATTTCTTTTATTATTAAATTTCCTGGCTTGTTCATTATTATAACAAAATAATTTGATGAGAAAACATATCTGAAAAAACAAATTAAATAACAATATTTAAATCTGTGGTGCTATGCATTCAGCCATATATTGCTGGCCAACCTATTTATAATAATTGTTATGGCCATCAATTTTATCATTCATGTAAGCAAAAACTTCATTAATTTAGATAAGACTAACAGCTTGAAAAGTAAACAACAAACCAACTGAAAATACTACTAAGATTGCATTAATAATGGAATACATGAATTTTTATTGATAATTGGTTTAATCTAAATCTTAAAAACACAGAAAATATCTTAGGCAATTATCAATTGATTAGCAAAATTAATGTTTGAATGCTTTGAACATGCAAGAGAGAAACAAAATTAATTTTTGAAATTTATTTTTGCTCAAAACTTATATCAAAACATAACTTATTCGAGGGAAAATTTCATTCACTTTAAAATAATTACAAACGGGTAATATTTACGAACTGGAGTGTTCAAAAGTAATACATGAAAAAGATTAAAACAATTTCTTACGCCCAGAATTATGTTTATTTCACAATCTATATATCAGGTGACAATACCAAACTATTTATAATGAGTTTAGAAATAATTAATTTATTTTAAACTGAATGTCAGCTTTCATCAAACATTTATATTTAGTATTAACCCAAAAATTAATGCATATTTTTTCAAAGGTTTAATGTCAATGCAAGTATTAGTTTAAGTCAGTGTTTCCCTAACTGTGGTGCGTGTACCCCCAGGGGTACGGGAACAGTTTAGCAGGGGTATGTGTTATTATGCAAAATATCTAGCAACAAACGAAAATTTCAAAAACAAAGCTAGACATGAAAATTTACGATTACATATTTTTTTATCGGCCATTTTTGGCAGAGTTAACAGTTAATAATTAGTAGTGTCAATAGCCAGTTGAGATTTTTAACTTTTGTGCAATTTTTTTATATTAAAAAGTACATTCATTTTTTTATTAGCGGTACACAGAATTTAGAAAGGGTACACAAAAGTCATAAGTTTGGGAAACACTGGTTTAAGTAATTACAGGAATTATACCATAGGAGTTATTAGCTATCTTAAGGAATTATAATTATGCGCTGGACTGTTTCCAAGGTAACTAGTAGAGACTGAGATGTTATTAAAGGAGGATAATATATGAGATGGAATTGTGAAGACATAAGTTAGTTTGTGAATGTTACGTTACAGCACTTTTACTTGAATAAGTGCATATTATGATGCATCTGCTCTTTATTTGTTTCCCATTCATATGTAAATAAATCAGCTCTCTGTATTCGTTCAACAGTCTTATTCATTAAAAGAAACCATCATTAAAATAGAATGCAACAATATATTGAACATACATTTAGTTTTATATAATTTTCTTGAATAAAAATGTGCACTTCTATGACTATTTTCTTCAAAATTATGCGACCATTAAAACTAAAACATTTCCTTGAGGCATAAGTTTTTAAAAAATATAGCAAGGATCAACATGAAATTTACATAAACAGGCATGTGCTACATGTTAGAATAAAAAAAAATGAAGAAAGTATTAGAGTATATTTATATTAATTTACACAAAAAATATTCACAAAAAAACACAATTTTTCAAACTTACATATCTTTCATCAGTTAGAATTTCAATAAAATCATTTAAAGCAGCTTCTGCATCATTTTTTGTATGTTTTGCAAGTCGAATCAAATTATCAAAAATTCTTGTGTTCAAATTAGCACCATATTTAGATTTTAACTCCTGTAAATAATAGAGGCATATAAATACACATATATTTAAAAAACTTAATAAATTTTAGCTGGAAACATAAGTAATTTAGAGTTATAATGCATAAAAGAAACACAGATATAAAATTCTACAGCCATCATAGAAACTTATAAATATATTTTGCCAAAAAAAGAGAAGAAAAGACAACTTCAAAATTCAATAAAGGAGCAATTTATCACACTTACTAATAACAATTTTTCCGCAGTACGTATATTCCCTTCCTGTGAATTAGAATTTTTTTCTTTCAGCCTATATGAAAAAAATAAAAGTCATCAAGAAAACAAAAACAAATTAAAAATTTTAATCAAAAATTCATAAGTGTATTAGAAAAGCTGAAGTCAGTGCAAGGACACCAAAAAATTTCATTGACATTCAGTGTGGATAGTTTCTTTTTAAAAACTAAGCTCCTTCCCTGCCAATTGAATAGTTAAAAAGACAAATTTGTCAACAAAAAAATAATCCATTAGACAATTCTTATTTATTTTTAAAATACTTTATAGATAAAGCTTAAGAACATTACAATTAACGGAGTTACTTTAAACATAAACTATAAAATTAATTCACAAGAAATTTATTTTTAACTCTTAATAGCTAGTCACCCAATTGTAATGTTTACTCAGGGAGTATTCAGGGTTAAGAATAGATAAATCAAGGAATTTTTATTTTTTACAAAAATTAAATATTTATTAGTCTTTTAATAATTTTTAAAGAAAAAAAAACAAATATAAAAAATTTAATAATAATTTTCTTAAAGAATAAATTTTTTTTATATATTTATATAATTAATATATTTATCTTTTTAAAAATGATTAAAACAAATAAAATAAAACATCAGTTTTAATGTCAAATTTTATAGATTGATATTGAAACAAATGCAATTTATAAATATGTATGTATGTGTATATATGGAGAGAAGTTTCAAAGAACCAAACAATTCTCAAACAATAATAAGCATTCAATCAATTGCATATATTGTAAATCTTGATATTTATTAAAAATCAATGTAACAATTAGGATTCCTGTCTAAGAATGTGTATTATTGAGATCAGAAAAAACAAACTATAAATATATTCATCAGGTTAAACATGAATTAAAGAAGAAAGTAATAATTATGTGTTAACTTTTTGATACCTTCTAAATTTATAGTCATGTAATCTGAAATTCCTAATTTCAGCTAGGGTTAGAATAATTTTTGCTAACTTTGACTAAGTTTGAAAAAAGAATTTAAAACGCCAAGTGTAAAAGGAAATAGCCCATATAATCTAGAAATATTTACCCTAATTAAAAAAAGATACTGCCCAAAATAACAAATAAATAAAAAAAGTTTGTGAAATATTTATAGACAGTCAATAGAAATTTGTTTAGCTACCAAAAGCTAGTAATATTTTTAAAAAAAACGTACAGAAGGTTAACTTACCAATTCTTTAAAAACAAATATGATCAAAAATGACATAATTAGTATGAGTGTGATATCAAGCCTGTTTTGTGAAAATTACTTTAATATTTTAAAGAAATAGTTGGCCATATTAGCTAAATTATATCTAAGTGTTTACCAACAAGAAAACTCAAAAATGAAATTTAATATTTCTAGTTTTAATAGAATAGAAAATTGCTTTTATAGATCAAAGGGATGTTTAATACAATAAAATGTAATTGAATTTTAATTTTTCCAAGAAATTAAAATACATGGATCCAACAATTTGAATATGGCCAATGATTATTCTTGAATTAATATTATTAACTATAATAGTATTAACAGTAATAATATAAACACAACAGCTAAATGCAAAATCATGACAAAATAACTTTTGCGGATCAAAGTCTCCTTTTTTGATTTAATGAATCATAAATTCATGAAACCAGAGAAAAGTAATTAGACACTTTTTATGTCAATAAATTTCTCAATTTAGATTAAAAAAAAGAAAACTATATGACACTTAAACGGTAATAAGCTAAAAATTAATAACTATGCTTTTTACATCAAATCTCCATCAACGTCAACATTTTCTCCAGAGAAATTTTCATTTTCTGGATTTAAACAAATTTCAATCATATGACACAGAGAAATCTGTCCCCATAAGGGAATGCTTCTTGTTTTATTAAAACACTTGAGAGCATCTGATGTATTTCCTGTATACCTGAAAAAAAATAATTGATTTCAAGATAACAATAAAATATTTGAATTATAAGAAAGTAATAGAACCAAGTACAGTTTATATTACAGAACCAAGTACAGTTTGCATTGTCCATCTCGTATGTTATACCATTTCTTATTTCCTTCTGTGCTGGTCTGTGAAAATTGCTTACACTGATAATGCTAATATATCCCAGAGTTTACATTAACATTTTTATAAAAATTGTATGTGCTTAATGCATTTCTTTAATGATAGACTAGAATCATTTTCTTTTACAATGCGTACACAAATTCTTTTTGAATTCTCTTTATCTGTTTGTAGCTGTTACCTGTTTTTTAGATGTTTGGAGCCGTTCTTGCAAACTTTCTATTCAGTCTTGTCCATTTGCCAGTGAGAGGTGTGTACTCCTCCCTATGTCATAAACAGAAGAGTGGGAAAAGAGATAAATCATGTGACCACCACAGCAAAAAGTATGGGGAGCATGGCATCAATAACCTTTTAATTATTCACCCACTCTCTATCAACAAAAGACAAAGAGGGGTGGTCGTAGATCCATGTAGAAAAGATTCCAATTGATAAATTCCAAGAAAAGAATCTATTTTGAAAGAAAAGGTGCTTGAATTGCTGAAAGGCTTGAACTCAAGGGCTAAAGTGCATCAAATAGCTGAATAGACTGATTAAAAAAACATATTCTGTTTCAAATCCATTTGTGGAGAATTTGATGTACATATAGTACAACTATGCAGCAGCAGATGTGGACAACCTAGCCAAATATAATAAAGGATTACAATATAAGTGACATATTTAATGCTGATGAGACGGGATAATTTTTCATCTTGTTACCGAACAAAGCATTGACAGTAAGAAGCAAAAATTGCCATGGGATAAAATTTAAAAAAATGCACTTGACAGTTTTGTTCTGTACAAATGTTCATGGAAGTAAAACGCAAACATCTATTATGATCAGTAGATCAGAGAAATCAGTGTTATTCAAAAAAAAGTTAAAAGTTTCTGCGCTGATTATGCTTTTAGCAAAAAGGAATGAATGACTCAATCACAGTTTGGAGATTTTCTTTGAAAACTGGATAAAAAATTCGACTACTTAAGTGAGAAATTATTTTACTTCTTGATCAATGAACTGCTTATTTGGATTTTATATTGAAAATGTATGAGTGGAATTTTTTACAACGAACTTCAACCATTGGATTCCGGGACCACCTGATCATTTAAAAGACTAACCCGAAACAACTTGTTAGAAAATAACTTCTTTTTTTAGATTTCAGCAACCTGTAGACTGCTTTTAAAGCAAATATAAATATTTTAAAAGCTCAAAATATGATTTCTTTATCTTGGGACAGAGCTGATAAAAAAATGCAATACCAATGGATTTAATAAAGCAAGATTCTCGATATTCAAAGAGGACATTAGTCTTTCGGAAGAAGAAAATTGCATGCCTGAAGGTGAAGATCTTCTGAAGGTTGATGATGCATACATTGAAAGTGACAAACATATCACTTTACAAATTCCTTTGCTTACTGATTTAACGCACACTTTTGATGATAATAGAGATGACGATGAAGATGAAATAATGGATGATGCACCCCTAGCTAATCATGCAATTCAAAGCACGAAAACTCTGAAACAATTTTCATTTACAAATACAAATCAAGATGCACATTTGCAAAACATTGTTAGTATTGAGTGGGCTATCAATGATATTGTATCTAAAGATAGAAAACAAGTAAGGATTAAACATTTTTTCCAATAGTTCACCTGGCAAGAGTTAATTTTTGAAAAATATGCTTACACTTTTTTTAAACCCGATTTTACGTTTTCACGTATCATGTGCTTTTCATTGCTAGTCAAACCAAAAACATAAAATTGGGGTACCACTGTATAAAAATGAAAGAAACATGGTATTTTAATATTCTAAAGATTGATATGCTAGATTTTGAGAAAATAAATTTTTGCTGGCAAGCTTTTCAATTGAAGTCATTAGAAATTCTCTCTTCAATGGTACTCATATCTATAAAGACCATCTCCAATAACACAAATTAAACTTTTTCCTTACCATTCATAGAGACCTTTGCAATAATAGTAACCAGGATCAATAGACAAATTGCCTGAAACTGCTTCAGCCTTCTTAATGCAAATTTCAGCATGTTCAAGCTTACCGAGCCTGCGTACTACTTCAATATATCTAGCAATAGCCTCAAAAAAATCTGAAAACATAAAGAAATCCTAAATAAGTCAAATTAAATACATAATAATAAATGCACTAAAACATATACAATTGATGTAGAAAATGAGCCACATATATAGTGTTATTTCTAAAAAATTTCACATGTTAATAAAATTACAGTAAAATCAACATGTTCTGGGACATAACTTAAATTCTTGGAAACAGGTTTAATGTATCATTCTTCTCCATGAAAACACAAACCTAGATCAATTAATTTATCACATTTTTAGTAAATCTAACTTCAGGGGTCTGTCCAGGCCGAATTTACTACCGTTTAGCGGTACCTTCACAAATTCAATTTTGGAAAAACGGTAGTTTCACAAAATACTTTTTCTTAAAATTTCATTTTTGTATCCCTTAAGAAACGATAAATCCATATTTTTGTGTTGATTTTTTAATATAATTTTTAATTTTTCACAAATTACGTCTAAATTTTCACAAAATAGGTACCTGTCAGAAAAACCTAGACAGACCCCTGAACTTAAAGTTAAAATTGCAAAATCAATCTTACATGAAAAAACTATATTACTTATTTTGTTTGGATTAAAATTGTATTTTGAAAATATTGCAAATGAATATTTCTGATACAGAAAGCTAGATTTTTGGTACATAAAATACTATCACAGAAACTAAAAACTGAAGAGAAGATAAACTTTTGTCAGAGACAAGATACACAAATAGAACTAGGGCAGTAACAAAAAACAAAATGCAAGCAAATAAAAGCAAACTATTAAAAAAATGGAAGGGAAAAAGTTAATTTGTAAAATTGTATAACAATTTTCTAACCTTACAGTAATAGAAGTAGATAGATTCTTAGATGATAAAAAGAACAGAAATAGGTGTAGATAGAAAGGATAAGAGTAGATAGAAGGGTGAGCATTGAGGCAATGATGCTTGTCCATCATTCCAAAAGCAAAATCTGCTGATTCCTAACAAACTTTCTCAAAAAGGGTTTGTTGGATGCGATACTATTTTTTGGCTAATGTGTCTGTGATCTCATTTGCAGGGATACAGAAATGGGAAGTTTCTTAACAAATTCTGGTAATTATAGATATTTATTTTCAGGAGTTTTTACAATGAAACAAAGCAATAACTGTAACCTTCTTGGACTTTGAAGCAATTTTTAAACAACCATGTATACCACTTTTAAAATCAAATTAAATGTTATTAATTTGCTATAACAGGCATTGTATAGAAAAAACATTCAATTACATGTCTTCACAAGTGTTTATTTTCATTTTCAGAACTGTAAGTCAGAATTTTGAACACTACTTTTGGGGGACAAATAGGCAAAATTATGAAAAATGAAAGTGTCATCTGATGGATTAAAGGAAAAGTGTTTTAAACTTCTTCACATTAAACAATCATTGTGAACATAAAAAATTTATGTAGAAATATCAAACCTGGTTTTATATTTAATAGTTTCTGAAACTGAAATTTTGCAGATTGTAAATCTCCTGCTTCGAACATCATATCAGCCAGCATCTAAAAATGCAAATGAATTATGATTAAACAAACAAAAGGTATTGAAAAATTATTATGTGTTTAATATGTGTTCTATACTATGTGTTTACTTCAAGAGTGCAAAAATACTAAATTTAAAATAAAATTCATTGCATATAATAGTGAGATTAAAATTTCAACTACAAATAAAAATAATGGAAATAAATATTTCTAATGATATCATTTCAACTCCAAATCTTCATTGAAAACATTAGGGAATAACATTTTTTTTGTTTATTTGTACTCTTTGGTATGAGAATTTGAAACAGATCTTAGGTATTTTTAAATCACTGATTACAAATTTGCAATCTGTTTTTCTCTACAAGATTTTTATGCAATTTAAAAGTATATTTGTAACCAGTAACTTTTAAAATTCACCTGAGTGAATACAAAGTATTCCCATTTCTCTACCACAAAATAGGAAGAAGGCAATAATACATTTCTATTTATGATGTGATATGTTAAAGTCATATGTTTTATGTCTTAAGTGCTATTTATAAAGGAACAGGCAAGTGTACATGTATGTATACAAACCTACATGTTCTTTATAAACTTGTACATACAGGCAAAAAATAAAATTGACAAAAATATATAATTTTGAAAAAAATATGAACAAAACTAATTTCTGAAAAAAAAGACTAAGTTCAGATTTGAAATCTGCATACCCAAATTAGGTCTGATTAAGTAATAGTATAAATACAAGAAAAAAAATTTTGCAGAGTAATTTTACATTTTTGATACCCTTTTTTTGGAAATCAAGTATTATTAAAGATGAGAATGTGATTTTTTATTGATTTTTAACACATTTTTATGAGATTTCATTTTTTTCCTAATATGGTTTACCTGATTGCTTCCTTGCATAAAACCAGTTTCTTTCTATGTAATTCTATAAGAGAATGGTGAATAAAAGGGAAAGTTTTAAATAAATTATGCCAAGGTGCTTAAAAATTTAAAGGTTAATATTTTATCGAAAAATTGAGAAAAATAAAGGCAAAAACAAATTTTCTGTAGAAATTTTGCAGAAAACTATTTAGATTTTTCAATTACTGCATTTAGAAAGAAAATCAGCTTTTGGCAAAAATAAAGTTAGGCAACTATTACTCATAATCAGGAATTTCAAGTAGTTGACCTAAAGAGCAATGGTTTTTCTAGGGGGGAAATAGATGTTTAACTTGATTTAAACTAGAGTTCATAAATACTATTCATCATCCAATTTGCTCACTTCCAAATTTATTTCTGTTAATTGCATGGCACAAAATATTTCTTACTTAAAATATAATTATTGTTTTCTAATAACAGAGTGAACTAAATTGAAAGTTTAGACAGCATAAATATTATATTTTTTATTTATAAATGATTTGACTGATTCTAAAGAAAACAGTTCCATGATGATCTCACTTTTTTTTCTTATAACTAGTTTACCAAAAATTTCTTTGTTTATAGTGCAAGTCGCAATGGTATTGTTAACTTTGCTTTTCTAATAGTATTTATGTTGACCAAAATTGCTGTTGAGCTTACCATAATTCTTTGGCAGCATATAAATGTAAGAAATTTCATTTAAAGTTGTTAATAATTTTCTAGCATTACTTAAATGATTACTAAAAACGTCAGCTCACAAGTGAAACATTTTATTCCACATTTTTTCTAGTTTACAGAATTTCAAGATAAAAAGAATTAAAACAAAAAAGCTTACATTCTAAAAAATTGGTTGACATCATGAAAGCTGTTTTAAAATATGCATCCATCCCTACTTCCATAACACTAAAAAAAAATTACGTTCAAATATCTCAAAACAATAAATATTAACATATGTGTCTCACTTGTTCTAAATATTAACATATGTGTTTCACTTTCGCCAACAAAATACAGAAAACAAATCCCAACTAAAGTTAAGACCTACAGTATTCAATAAAATAAACAGACACCAAGAAAATAACCGATTTATGTAGGAAATGTTACAAAATAATATTTTTAATTAAATTTTTTTATTTTCAGATTGTACATAAAACTTGAGCATAGCTATATTTTGTTGGAAGTTTTCAAGCAATTAGCATTATAGTATATAAATAGAGTATAATTCAGTATTTCAGTGCTATTAGATATCTTAGCAAGAAAATTTTGCATCTGATTAAGTAAACCAAATATTTATATGGTTTGAGGACATGTTTTTAATTGGTTTAAAGTGTGTTTGTCATGTATGTCGAATGATAATAAATTGATATACCACATAAACTCTTTAAACTACAGGCACTGCAGTTTTATGTGTTATTTTTATTTACTTCTTATTAAACTTTAATTTACTAACAAAAAATTATTACCACAGCTGCTGGTATGTTTTCACTATCTTTACTTAACACAGTGGCACAATATTGCCGGGCAGCATCTATGTCATGGGACTCAATTTGTAGTCGAGCCAAAGAAAGAAGTATCTGAAACATTTAAAAGAAAATTAATGCATGCATAAAGGAAGATAGATAAGAGATTTTTAGAGATAGAGATTTTTCAATGATAAATTTACAAATAACAATCAATAGAAATGCAAACATTTTATGCATACTTTTTATCAAGACCAAATTAAAAGTGAGATTTCTAGGAAAAAATAAAAAATATCACATACTAGAAAAAGATATCTTGATATATTCAAACACAATAAATAAGTTTGTACTTAGACAATTCATAATTACTTATGCATCAATTTTTATTATTATTCAGAGAAAAGTTTATGAAAATGTATGTTTCTCAGAATCTAAAACGCGATGAAGTTTTAGGTTTCATTTACAAAACAAAAGTGTAAAACAAGAATGTACCAAGAACAAAATATACATACTCTTTTGTTTAATTTCAATGTTTTCTGTTTTAAATCTGCTTTATTTTCATCATTCACATCTTATGAGTCTTAAGAATAGGTGTTCATTTTTGAGTGCTCAAGATATGTTGACTTTTTTTACCTTTATAATTTTTGAAGCAAATGAAGTTTTTACATTATTAAGTATAGCTCTCTGCTTCAGTTTTCTGGGATTATTCATTTAACCTCTTTAATTCTTAAAATGTACACTTTTTCGGTAGCATACTTATAGCATATAAATAAGATTTAAATAGTCTTCTCTCTTATTTCCCATTCTGTATAAAAGAAAAATGCCAAAAATTTGTTTCATGAAATATCCTCAAATTTTAATTATTAAATTAATTTGAATTGATTTTTAACACTAATTAATACTTAAATAATAAAAATTAATTAATTTGAGTGAGTTTATTTGAACAAAAAACAACAGATTAATAAGTAAATATATATTTCTACATACATTAAAACACTCTTGATTCTAAAAGAGAAAAATGTTATCTTACTTAGATTGCATTCACAGAATAATTTGAACACATTTATCATTGAATAAGTTCCATTCCTTTCATATAATATGCACTTAAAATCCGAACACATATGCTATGTGCTTTAACAAGTATAATAATACATTGATAATAAATACTTAACTTATGACAATTGAGATACACAGGTTGACTCAAAATTATCTTTTTAGGTGTGCAATAATACCTAACATAAATAAGATGAACCAATATCTTGACAATAAGTAAATTTTTTGTGGAGTACACAAAAAGCTTTTTAAGTTATTTGCTTGAAAGCACTGAGCACACAATGATTTTAGATCTTGAACTTCAGTGTTGGTCACAATTTGGAGAAGATTGCAGGTGAAAATCATAGTTGAATTTACAAACAGTTGTTCAGTTATGTTGAAACATTCTTAAGCAACACTTTTATATTTCATGCTAGAATAACACAAAACTGTATGAAAAAAACTATATTTGCTTATGAGACACATACAAGCGACAGAATATAGCTGTTTTATTTATTTTTTATTACAATTGCACGATAAATCTTAAAAAAGTAATAGTGAGTTAACCTGTTTAATAATAAAGAGGTTTTAACTAAAACTAATTTCTTACTTCAGTGTCACTATCATCAAAAGTAAGTGCTTCTCGATAAAACTGAACAGCACTCCCATAATCTTTCTTATTTGAAGAATGAATAGCTAGTTGACAACAAATTCTAAAATAACATAAAGAAAATATGCAATATTTGATAAAAGTTCAATAGGCAATTGGTACAGTATTCTGAAAGAATAAAAAAAATTTACTCTTTAGCCTTTTTACGATGGACATCAACATCTGTTTGTTCCATGTGAACTTTGCGCAAAACTCTGAAAAAAAAATTCATACAGAAAAATATTATTGAATCATTCTGTTTAAACTGCTGATTCATGAAAATAATCACTTCAAATTAAATGTACAAAACATTAACGCAAACATAAGTTTGTTGTAACAAATTTAAACCAAACAAAGCAATTTTAAAATTCAAAATGACACTTTATGACGATACTTTTACACTTTTATGATACCATGATGATACTTTACCATCTGATACTTTTTTTTAAAATTTAGTTTCATCATTAATCATAAAAGCTCAGATTGCAATTTATAAATTAAGTCTTGCTTGAAACAATGCAACATGTTTTGAGGTGCTAGCAAATTATATAATTTAAAGTTAAATATATAATATACTAAAAATATACCATAGAAATTCAAACAAATTATTTTAATTAATAAAAAAGTTCATTACTTTGATTCACATACCTTGTTTGAACACTCCAAGCTTTTTGAAGAGCATTCATAGCTTGGTCTTCCATTTCCATTTTAGAATAAACATTTGACAAAAGACACAAGTATTTTGATTCCATGGACAACCAATTTAAATTGTCAGCTAATAGATAAAAATAACACTATTAAAAGTTATTACACTAAAAGAATTAAAGAAAGACTTTTTGAATAACTTAAATTAAATAAATTCCACTCAATATAAAATCATATTTGAAAAAGAAACTAAATATTAGGATTTTTTAATCTTTATATAATAGTTAAATTCAACTAAAACACCAAGATTCAAAAACTAATTATAAATATATGTAATTATAAATATCTATAACTTTTCATTTTGAAATATATAAACAAAAAATATTACATTTTGCGAGTAATTTTTATCTTTTTACATGAATGTAGATTGAAAAAGTATAGATGTTACAATAAACTATAATAAGGAAAAATAGGTAAATAAAACTTTTGATAACTTGAGATGATTTGATAATTCATCAAAAATATTTCCCATTCTGCCCCCCTCCTAATGGTTTGCCTTTTAAGAGAAACGTTTTCAGCACTACAGCACAACATATTTGACAAGCATTCAAAGTTATTGCTATAGGAAAAATAATAACTAAATCAAAAACTTTCAGAAACATCATTCTTACTTCCTCTATTGCTCTCCAAAGCAGAATTTACCATTTCTTCAGCTTCTTTGTAACGCTTTATAATCGACAACAAGGAACATAAATCATACCTAATAAAAATAGTTTCAAAAAGTTAGAATTTTAATTTTTAAACAAATAATTAATTAATTAATAACTAGTAACCTTAAATTTTCAAGTCCTCCACTTTTTATTGCAGCCTTGTAATAAGTAACAGCCTGTCAAAAGAATTTAGAAAAGGAAATCAGATCCATCTACTCTGATCATTTTTTAAAATAAATACAATCAAATTTGCATAATACATCTACCAGATAAAATCAAATATCACTTGTAATAGCAACTTTATTAAAAAATGCAAAAGAATTTTAAGATATAAAAATTACTACTCAAATAAGGTCAGATAACTAGCCTTCTAAGTAGTATTTAGAAACAATTTCATAAATTGTTTTATCATTAACAGCATAATAAAATATTTGCCTTTGATTAAACAGAATTCGTTTATTCCCTTCTTCCAAGCACAATAAAAAACAATCAAATGCAAATTTCTAAGCGAAGAATGAATGAATTTTCTTCAATATATGAATAAAGCTAAACATTGTGAAAAAGCCCCCCCCCCCCAAAAAAAAATAACACACAAACATACATATTGAAGTTTCAGTTTTATAATGAAGAACCAGCATTAGTGTCCAAGTACAGAATTTCTGAGCCTGACAATAATGAAAGTTCTTTGTTTTAGAACTGAAGCTGTAGTATGTTTCTTTATGTAATATTATCAGTGCTATTCTTTAGCTTTATTTAAAAACAAATTTTATTTTCCTTTTTAATGAGTGATGCTTTTACAATGAATAATTGTATGAAAAAATATGCCAGGAAATTTTCTAAATAAAAATTTAATATAAAAATAAATATTTAATTTTACATAAAATTTACAACTTTCAGGATCATTTCTTATGATTTATTCTATTATCTCAAAATCTAATATCAACTATATGAGTGAAGAAATTTTACCGTATTTTATAAGTTTACAGTGTAACTAAGCTTTTTTTGTAATATTTATAAAATACTTGAATTTTCACATAACATTAGTTGGAGAATCAAACATAATCCATCATTAACTGCTTCTATTATCTCTTCACCTCATTATATAGAAGTTCTTAGTGAAAATGACTACAATGAACAAAAGCTACATATAAAAGTTTTTATAAATGGAACATATTCACCTACTTTCTCATAATTATGAGTTTTCACCAATGCAGTACCGATTTTACTAGCTAAATCACTGTCTTTAGGATTTTGCTTTAAAGCTTGTTCATATGCTTCAACAGCTTTCTCAGGCTAATTAAAGTTTAATTATAAAAATTAGCATATGAAAGGTAAATGGGCAATTAGAAAAATTAGTGTGTTTTGAAAACATACCTCTTGAATTTTCATAAATGCATCTCCTAATAAATTTAAGATTTCTGGGGTATTTCTTTCCTTTGCTGCTTCTCTAAATTATACAGACAGAAGTGGTGAAGATAACACTTGACATCAAATAAATATATAAACACACAAAACTTTTTCTGTTATATAATTTAAGTAANTTATTTCAGATTTAACCCACTGATGGTTTTGCATGTAAAAATTCATATTATGACCTGCAGTCTTCTTTGCATAGCAAAACCGGTTTTTCCATGTTATTAGATAGGGAAATAATATATAAAATATATATCTGCCCACTTTTGTCGTTTAGCTACGCCGCCAGTGGGTTAACTAAATTTATCTTAAAACATCGAATTACACTGAACTGATAAAAGTACATTTTGAAATTTAAAACTGTTTATGCAGTCATGTCTAAAGGACAACAAACAGTTTAGCAAGAGAAAAAAATCCCTTTCCTGAAAGTCAAAATTTCTATTTCTTACATTGTACATGTTGCATCAGTTATCAAATTAAATTTTTTTTAAATTATACAAAAATTATATTAGCTAGGTTTTACACATCATATTGAAAGAAAAATTATATATTCATAAATAATGGCGTATATCAACACCCAGATTTTGATGACAATTGCCCTTTTTAGTATTCCTACCATCAGTTGAAAATTTTTTGGAATTTTCTTCATTTTAGGCATTTACATTTTAGATTTTTTTCGTAAAATAGTGTCATATTTTCCAAAACGAAATCAAATTTTTTTTAAAACCATTAATATTGAAACTGTTACAAGGGAAAAAATATGTTTCTAAAAGAAAATCTCAAAAATTATTCATAGAATATTCCTTTAGCCTTTTGTTATTACAGCATTTAATAGTTACTTTGCACTTTATTAAAAAGTGCACTTCTTTTTTTAACATATATATTTTAGTAAATTCACATGTAAATTTAGAAAAGAAAAAATGTTTCAGATCGAAATTCTTATAATTTTTTTTATGTTTGATGTTTTTAATATTTTTATGGCATTTTAAGTTCTAAAAATCCAAACTCTACACATAACATTCAATTTTCTGATTTGTGCCACTAATATATATCATTCTACATTTGTAAAACTGTAGCTTATAAACAACTAGTTTAAAGAAGTAAGAATACATTCAGAATGGATATGATTGTCAAATGTGGATGAGTTTCTGAGGCATAAACACATTCGTTTACACTTTTATAGTACAGTACAGAGCCCGTTATCCGGAAATCAGAAAACCGGAACGAAATTCAATAAATTTTCCCGCCATTTTTAAGAAAAAAATGTTTTTTCCTCATAAGATTTTAGGATTTTTCGCTCTTTTTTGAAAGATGTTTACCTTACCATCATTTTGGAAATAATCATTAGTGTATTACTCCATCGTTTTCTCTTCTTTTTAAGATTATTTCCAAAAAATAACAATTTTTTTTAAGTTGGGTTTAACAATAAAAAAACGGCTTTTTGTAGCGATTCAGAAAACCGGAAAAATCAGTTATCTGGAATAGCGATGGTTCCGATCTTTTTGGATAATTGGTTCCCTACTGTACAGTGAAACCCTAGTTTTGATACTACTGATATTTTAACTCTCAATATTCAAAGTATTTTGTTCATCCATTATTTAAACTGTGATAACTATAACTAAAACATTAAATAAGTTTGGCAAATATGTCAGTTTCCCATACAAAAATATATTTAAACTATTCTACATTGACATAAGCTAGTTATATATTTTATATTTATTTTAATACTTTCCCCAATTACCCCAATAATGACAACCCGATATTTGTATAAATAAAAAAAATGCTAGTTTCCCTAAATTTTTAAAGAAGTCTGATGTACCAATTTTTACAGTAGTCTGAGGTACCAATTTTTACAGTATTTGATAACCACCTTTTAGTGAAATTTCATTAGCAGAGAATGGTAATTCTTTCAGAAATTGATTTCAGTAGTTTTTGGTTTTAAACCCCTAACTGGGGAAAAATTCAAACCTGTAGCAATTGATGAACTTAATTCTATCCTTTTTATAATTCAGATGTATCTCAGCTCTTTGCTGCAAAGCTTCAAAATAGCATGATTTATCAGGTTTAATTTCTTCTAATATCTTCAATGCACAGTTAATATCATTGCGACTTAAGGCAAAATATGCAACAGCAAAGCGAAGTCTATCAAATTCAGGTGTATCTCGAAACAGTGAATTGGCCTCACGAATTGCAGCATTTGCTTCATCCTTAAACAAATAAATATAAAATAAGTTCAGATTTATTGCTATTTATTAAACATTTTAGTAAATATCAAAATTATTGGTTTGAAATTAATTATTGGAAAAAAAAGGTAAGACGAACGGTTCATGAATAAGTTAAGATTTGTTCTTAAATTCTTTAAAAAAAAGGAGTAAAAACTAAAGGCAGTACAATTTTAATAAAAAATAGGCAAATTAAAGAAATAATCGAAAATTACATAGTTTTTAAACAGTCTTTTATAATTTCATAATTAGCACTATAATTTATAGAAATTACAGCAAATCAATAGCAGTTGGCCTCTTTCTATACATGCCACAGAAGAAAATGATAATAAAGAATCAATTAATTCATAATATTTTGAAATGATGATCTACTTGCCCCAAAAAACACACAAATACCAAAATAGTAACTAACATAAAAAGCAAAATGCCTCATTGTTACTTTTTTAGTTGATAATGAATGCAATTTTCCCACAAAAAAGTAATGGATAGCTTCTCAGATTAGCCCCATCTTCAATAACTCTTGTTATAGATCTACATGTCCCTGCTCTAAAACATATTTTTGATCAAGGATTGACAATCAGCTTGCATTACCTAGACTCCTTTTTTGCAGCAAAGCGTTCTCTGGGACGTGCAATTCTCCATCAAGGAATATAAAGAAATTGTGCAACAGCAGAACAAAAGTAAACTTCAAAAACATTTTAAAAAATCTGTATTAATAGCAGAATGAGAAATGGGAAATAACAAATTACATTACAGGTTTTTTTTGAGGCAAATGTTTCATCAGCTCTAATGCTTGAATTAAAAACAATGATCGATTCTGGCTTTAAAATTTTTAAGTGCGAATTTATTTAATTTCACGTAGAATCTTGTAGTTTCAGAAAGTTTAAAATAATTTATCTTATTTTAAATAGAGACTTATTTTTAATAAAAATGGACCCTGAAACTTTAAAGTCCTGGATCCAAGGGAAAAGCAAATTTCCAAAATTTAACAAAATCACTTTTCTTTCTTTTTTAATTTTACAATAAATCTTTATAATCTTATTAAAGTACTTCTTTAATACTTTTGCATTGCCATTTTCATAACACCAATGGAAAAAATGCATGTGAAAAGTAACAGCAAGAGAGAAAAATCACTTTACATTGCAAGTGTTGGAGTAATAAATGAAGCTATTTAATTTGTATGGTTTCTTCTGCAGACAGAATGAATGCTTTCAATTTTAAAAGTGAACATTTAGCAAAATTTAGTAAAAGGTACAATATTGGAGAATATTCCCCAAATTTAGTGTCATGCACATAGTTTTCTGGAATAAATCATATACAAAGCTAAATATTGAAGAATAATGTTAAAGATATAATTGGTTTACAAATGTAAAGGTTATAATATAAGGAAAAAATTTATAAATTTAACAATAAAAACATTCAATTTTTAGGATTTATTTATTTTTATTCCTATTTTTCTAAAAATAATTTAGACTAAAAACCTGTAATTTCTTTTACATTTCATTCATGAGCTTTTAATGCACTACCAGTAGTATTCATACTACCAATTTAGAGCTGCATGTATAAAATAATATAATCTGCAGTATTACCAGAATATAAATAAAAAGTTGAAAGTGAATTTTAGTTTAAAACTATAAGGTCTTAAAATTTTCTAAAATAAATCAAGCAAAACTCAACAAACCTGCATATTTAAATCACAATGAACTTTAATAAGCTGGACATATAAATGAATTTTCTTAGAAAGTGGAGCTTTTCTAACAGAACTTTCTGGAATAATGAAAACTTTGCTTTTAATTCTGATAAAAATCAAAGAATTAAAATATTTTTATGCAATCATAAAAGAAAATTATTCATACATTTTAAAGAATATTTCAATTACAATAGTTAAAAAGTATGAAAAAACAGGACTATTAATTTCACACTGAAATAACTAGAATAATTTTCATTTTACTTGCCAAATAAACTTGGACTTGATAAGCGTATTTTATCATATTACCTTCATTCTATATAATGTTATTTGTTTCCAACTCAAGATTTGAAAGTATAACAAGTTTTTTTTTTCTTTTCTTTGCTATTACACGTCCTTTATTTGCATGAAAGTATTAAATATGAAGTCTGAATACTTATTAATTCAATGAAGCACATTCTTTAAATTGATGAAAAACATGATATTGTTTAACACTCAGAGCTTAATGATTTCTGTCATCAGAGCTTTAATGGTATTACAATATACATTTAGTTCACAGTGTAGAGGAATGCAATTGTTAATTTAATGAAATACAATAAATAATTTAAATTTGTTAATTTAATGAAGCACATTCTTTAAATTGATGAATAACCTGTTATTGCCTAACATTCGGGACTCTTGGATTTTTGTTATTAGAATTTTAACATCATTATAATATAAATGTATTTCAAAGTGGGGAAGAACACCATTGAAGTAATTTTCCAAACTTAAAATTAAATTTTTTGTAACTGCATAACCATGATCAAATTATATTGTAAAATATTACTCATATTAAATTTCCAAAATAGACTTTATATAAGTGAAAAGACTTAGAACATATTACATTTGTCCTTAAAAAAAAGCACAAACTGAAATAAAAAATAACAAAACTTTATTTACCCTCTTTTGCAGAGTCTGGAAAGCATATTGATTTAGCAAAATTTAATGTTTCAGCAGCATCCGTTAATAATCCTTGCTGCCTTTGAATTTCAGCTTTTATGAGTAAATAATCTAAATTTTCACGGACCTATAAAATTCAAACAAAATAAATTCATTAACAAATAGTATAACTTTCTAAAAGAATGAATCAATATAGAACAACTATATCTTAAAACATTCAATTTTAGAAAGTTAATGCAAAAAATATTTCTATAACCAAAATATACTTATAAATATATGTAAATGTAATATTAAAATTTAGTAATAAATAATCTATATTTGATACAAAATAACTTTATTTAGTGAGTTTTTTAGATATTCTTCCTTACACTAAATATGAATGAAGGACTAAGCTGCCTGTTAATGCTCCTGCACCCAACTTTTGATAGCTTCAATGCCGCCTGCTGACTTTAGACATTATGTCGATTTCTGTCTTCTCTATGGTTTTTACTGAAAAGTTTATTACAGGTTCATGTAAATTTGGAAGTTAAAAAAAAGATACATTAATACAAGCCTGTTTTTTTTTAAAGCTATATAATTTCTAAGGATAACATCTGTTAAAAAATGTGAAAAAAAATTTTATTTCTTCAAAATGTACGTCATCTTTTCTATCTCATTTTTCAGAAGCAATAAAAACACTTAAATTAATTGTGATTTCTTTTTACTATAAAAATCGAGTGTAATTTCCAAATATTCTTAAATAAAGCATCATCTTGCCTTCTATGCTCAGAGTGAATATTATGCATAACAGGAGAAATAGCTACAGATACAAATGCTGTTATCATTATCCTAGACAGTACTGTAGAAAAAGAAAACTTCACGTGTGTAATGAAGCTGGAATGCACCACTATGATATCCAGGAACATTTCTTTGGAACAAGAATGTCCTTCTGATACTTGAATAAGCATATGGTTTTCTCTTATTTTACGAAACTGAATTTCTTTCATGCAAAACCAAGTTCTTCTGCTCATAATAGCATATACAGTGAATTCGCGATAACTCGAATCTGATAGGACTGACAAAGAACTTCGACATATCGGAAGTTCAACTTACCGTTAGTTTCAGTTTCGAACTTTCAAAATATTGTTGGATTATTTAATTAATGCTTATTAATTACAAACTTTCTAAATGCTTACAATATTTAAGATCATTTTTCTGACAAGTCATTTACGATAAGACTGTTTGAAGCACTTTATGATACCCTGGTCCATCGGCTGCAACTTTGCTGTTGTGTTTGGCGGGAGAAACTGCAAATTTACTGCTTTCAAATTAGGTAGATCACTATGCGCTGTACATTTATCCATAAAGCGTATCACTTTTCTTTTTTTAGCGAAGAATTTCCGATCCAATTTTCTTACATAGTCTTTAAATAAAACTGATGTCATCCAAAACTTTTTGTTAGACTTGTAATCCAAGGGATACGTTTTTACATTCTTGAAACATCGGTGATTTCGGTATTTTCCAATAACAAGTAAGGGCAATTTTTCTGTCCCAGACGCATTTCCTCCAACTAAGGCAGTCAAACGTTCCTTGCTCATTTTACCCCCTGAGCAGTTTTCATCCTTATTTGGAAGACATTTAAAAAATAAACTGATTTCATCAATATTGAAAACATCATTTTAACTGTATCCTTGAAGTAAATTTGGTAACGTTTAATTTAACCACTGTTCACATACCTCAAGAGGGACAGCTTTAGCTTCTCCATGAAGAGTGCGAATGACATTGTGTGTGTGTTGCAAAGGAAGGGGCAAGATATCAGCTCGTAAGTTTTTTTTTCTTGCTTTAAAAGATCAAAAAAAAATCGAGTTAAAGGGAGTAAAATTCGAGTAATCGAGAATAATTAACATGAAATTGAAGATAAACGGGTCGGGACCTCATAAAAAAATCGAGTTATAGTAATATTCGAGTTATTGTACTTCGAGTTATAGCGAATTGACTGTATTTGTATGTCATCTGCAATTGTCTTATAAAAGCATGTATATAGTGTAGAGTAATATAAAATGGAAAGAAAATGAAGATAAATATGTCAATAGAGAAAATAAAAGAAACAATAATAAGCTTGTTTAGTGATATTTATGAAGACTGATTAAAATGGTGGGATATAATTGAATTGCTTAGAGGAAGCATCACGCTGAGCAAAACTTTATTAGTTTTCAAAAATAATTTTCAAAATTTAAAATATAACAAGGTTACTTCCACATCATCTTCTTCTTCCAAAGAAAGCCACCTCATTTAAAGACTTAGAAAAGAAAAGCAATATTTTATAACCAAAATGGACCATAAAATGTTTGCAAACTATCAATCCATTTCTTTCATAAAATTTTTTAATTAAATTACAAAAGAACAAGTATTATATAACAAGTTATGTAAAACTTTAGGAGCATGAATATTAATATTAGAATTTAGTCTTAAACTAAGGCTGAACTAAGCTTAACCTATTTCTGGTTCAATACATTGTTCTTGTTGGACACAAACTCCATCATTTGACGAACTGGCACAAAATTGTCTTATGGACTCCATTTACCATAGAGACTTTGTGTACCAGTATGAAAATATTTAAGCACTCTTAATATAGACAAAAACATAATAAAAAACTGTAAAACGTATAGTGATGTTTGCAAAATTTATATTTTTACCGTTAACCATTAAGATATTTAATTTAAAAAATGATAAAAATTCATTGATTTACGTTCATGAAAGCAAAAATATCTTTATTAATATAAATGCAATGCTAAACACACTACACAACTACAATGCTAAACATAACAACAATGAAATACTAAGTTCTTATATAAGTAAAATTATTAAATTAAATTGAGAAATAAAATTTTTTAAACACTCACACTAAAAATACAGTCGAACCTCCATATCATAAATATTTTTACTTCACAAAAAAATCTGAATTCCCTAAAACTCATAAGGTTCTGTTGCTAGTATAAAAATAACTCTTTTAACCAAATACATTTCTTGGTGTACTTCGATTTCACAAAAAAAAATTTTAATTTATTTCTCCTAAGAATTCAAAATGTTTCCTAGAATATATTATTGTTTCCAAAATATTTTATTGAATAATTTTATGAATCATATCTTGCAGCCCTAAAAAGAAATTGATTGCCATGTGTGAAAAGAAATTGCCTAAATCCTCCATTTCTAAAGAAATAGACATGTGCGTAGATAATAATATCTGTCCATTAGATTGAAATAGCTTGCTAATTCAATGAATCTAAGAGACTTATGAGAAAGTAGCTAAGATGAATAATAATGTATCAGTTGGTTACAGCATCAGAGCATATAGCAAAAAAAGAAAAATGATAAATTAGAACAACTTTAACAACGTGTCAGATTATATGAAAAAGCGAAAGTACTGACATTGCTTGAAGTAACTGTGATACATGAGATACAATTTTTAAAAATGCATGTACAGTAATTATTTTGAATAATTTGTTGATATACATTTCAATGATTAATTAATACATTAAATTTTTGATATAACAAATTTACTATACTATGAAATTTTTAATGTCTCTCTCTGTGTTTGTAATATTGAGGCTTGACTGTATTATAAACTCAACAAAACATGATTTAAATACTGATGTGATGAACACTCACTTCAAAATTAAAACTCAAAGCAACTTCTAGACAATGGCTAGCAGCATAAAAATTTCCTTCATTGAGATGAAGTTGAGCCAAAACTATTCGACTTTCAGGGTTACTATCTTCTTTATCCACTGTTTGATATAACAACGCTTTAGCAGCAGCTAAATCGCCTAAAAAAGAGCAATGTCAAGATGAATCAATTTAACTTTATTTCTAGTTTTATTAAAAAAATATTTTTTTATTTATCGTGAGCAAATCATTCCAATCTGTTCAATCAATCCAAGTTGAACTTCACAGCAGTATCTCCGAGATAGGCGCGACTATGCATGCAATCATCATACATGATAGATATCATAACATAATGGGTAAATTCCATCCAACAGCAAACAAATGTTTTTGAGGTGGACAATGCACAGAATAAAAAAGATATCACCTGGAATAACGTTTGCTCTAATGATTGTATTTTCATGAACTAACCATCAATCCTAAAATGATGATTCTATGAGAGTGACCTCAAATATGCAAATTAAGTCATGAAGTCAGACACAAAAACTTTTTTTCTCTAAATATATTATTTTTTTCCTATTTAGATTTTTCACCCTTGAATTCAATAGCCACAATCTGGAAACTATGGCCCTTATAGTTTAGTCAGGAGAGAAGATGAAAGTTCTGTCCCCTTAATGTTAATTTCACTTTTGCATCTTTGGTCATATCTTTAAAACTAATTAAAAATTTCTAGAAAATTATCACCCAGTAATGAAATTTGTTTACCCAGACACTTTTATGCAAAAACATTTCGGTAATTATTTATTACTTGGTATTGTTTAATTAAATAGTGGATTTAAAAATTTTGAATAATGAGTCATAAATGTTTTTATTCCATATGAATCTACGTATTTTTCTATAAAAAAAATACTTGTTACTATTATTACTACTTGCTAAATACTTTTTTTTTAGTAGAAGTTTATAAAAATTAAAACTAATTATTTAAAAAAAATAATTTGGCAAAATTGAAAAAATATTTTAATGGAGCGATTAATACTTACATGAGGTAAATTTACAAGGTAGTTGACTTACGCTAGCACAGTGTTAATTTCATTTATTATTTTTTAGTGTTTCATTAAGCATCATTTTTTAAAAATTATAATATATGATGTTTCTTCCTAAGTTGCCTGCTAATTTATACTTAATTTTGTAAAGTAATTTTGAAATACTTAATTTAGAGAATTGAATAAAATATTATATTTAATGAATGCGCACACAAAAATATTTTTTTGATTGAATGTGGGGAACTGCTGCTTTTTTTATTGTTTAATTAATTCATTCAACAGTTGATTCAGTTTCAATAATGTGCATAAGTATGCCTATTTATTTAATAATATATTATACTAGCCTTCAAATTTTTATCTTATTAACTAAACAAAAAAAACTTAAACAATAAAATCTTATATCTTTTGCGAAATCTTATATCTCCTTGAATCAAACTCTTGTAACAGTGTTGTTCTATTTTCCAACAGTTTATTTTTTCATGATTTAAACTCTTTTACAAAAAAATATATTATATTAACTCCAAAATATAGGTAGATTTGAAATATGTAATAAAAATACACAATTATTGAATCTATTGTGATGAAAAAAATTACAGCCAGAGAGTTGACATGCTTTTAGAAAAAATTATGAGCACTTTTTTTAATCTTTCATCATAAGGAAAAAAGATGCTAATCAGGGGTCTGTCTAAGTTTTTCTGAGAAGTACCTATTTTGTGAAAACTTAGACATAATTTGTGAAAAATTAAAAATTATATTGAAATATCAGCACAAAAACATGGTAAAAATATAGATTTACCGTTTCTTAAGGAATACAAAAATAAAATTTTAAAAAAAAACGTATTTTGTGAAACTACCGCTTTTCCTAAAGTTGAATTTCCGAAGGTACCGCTAAACGGTAGTAAATTCGGCCTGGACAGACCCTTGCTAATGCTCCAAGCAACCACCTCAATAATTTTGTTAAGAATTGAAATCTATTTGAATGAAAAATTTTATTGTGTGAAAGCTAAAATGAGAAACAATTTAATTATTATTATTTATATAAACTATTTTGTTGATAAGGGCATTGAGGAAAAAGAGAGTTTCCCATCATACTATGAATGCAAGAAATCAAATATTGCTTGAATAATTTTAAGCAAATAAGAAAAAATAAAAGGTGCAAAAAATAAACTCACTTGAAGTATGCCTAAAATATACCCTTTCTTACTAAAAGTAAATAAGTAAAAATAAATACAGTTTGAAACTTAATTACCAATATTATACTATGATATTAATAAGTATAATATTTTAATTTTTTTTAAGTACGTATGGGATTTAAGCATTTTACCTTTAACAAATTAAAACATCGTTTTGCATAGTTCTATATAATATTTCCTTTTTGTTGTGTAGCATATTTTTTACTTAAATCTACATATCTTTGCAAAGTAATAAAATAAAGAATTTTAATTTGAAGTGGTTACAAACAAAATAACTCATCATTTTGGTGTTTGTGACAAATTTTAAAATCCATATCGCTGTTTTCAGAGATTGTAATATGTTGTGCTTGTTTTCAAGGAGGCTTTTTATTTAGTAAGCTTGTTAGATTTCAGAAGTTATTGACACTTTAAAGCATGTTGTCGAAGTCTCAATATCTTGAAATTATGATATGTACAGATATATGAAATAACCATTCAAAAAATTTTTAAAAGCATGAAGAAATTCTCTGTAATTGCAGTATCTTTTTATGTAATTTTATTTAAATCATCCTTTACCTTGGACGAAACACAGCGCAAATCAGACTTCTGACTTGATATTGTATTAGTTATTATTCCGTGGTGTATGGGTACAATGAAAATGCGCCTGGCAGTATTATCTTCAAATTTATTTTATTAAGTCATAAATCTGATTCGAATCATGATTCAAAAAAACAATTCGAAGCATGAAGTTTATATTACAAGTTCGAATTCTTGATTGTCATTTCAAAGTGAGAGAATTTAATAAGTCTGTTGACAAAAAAACTGTATGTCAAATATTTTTATTTTAAATCAGTGTCTTACCTTCCAACATTTTTAAATTTGCCAGAAGCACAGATGTTGAAAATCCAAATAAACCAGGACAAGACAAATGAACCATATTTACTGCAGATTTGCAGAGCTTTAAAGCATCAGCAAATATAGTTTTGGACTTAGTAACCTAAAAATGATAAAAAAATTTAATAAATAACAAGAATAATTTAAAAATGCAATAATACCATGTGGAAATTATTGTAACAATTATTATCATTAATATCATAACAATAATAGATAGTTAATAAGAATTTAAAGAGACCTTAAATCTTATTAAAAGTAAGAATAATGTAGAATTTGTATAAAATTGTGTATTTAAAATAAAGAATTACATCGAAAAACTTTGAACAAAAAAATATATCTGTGAGAGGCATTAATATTGAAAATGATAGTTTCAGAAATGCTTCCCTAGATATTGTTTAAATTTTTTTCCCAAATGCTTTACAAAAAACATTTTGTACACTTTAAAATAAAACTGCACGATGCATAACAAAGAAAGTAAGTAAACAAATAAAAAAAACAATACTCACTGATTTCAGCTATAACATTAAAACTATCAAAATTATAAAAAAACTGTAATAATAAAATGAGCAAAGTAAACCCCTTCCTCAAAAACAAAGGATAAACTACAATTTTAATAAAATCACAAATAAACTGGAATAAGTGGATTTTTATTTATTTATTTTTTGAAACTCAAAACAAAATTTGAATTTTCAAATAAGAAAAAAAAATAACTGAAAAAATATTTCTAGCCATTTTTAAATTATTGCAAAAAATATAAATTTAGGTTTAAAAGTATACAATTTTACATATTACTAATTACTCAAACATTTATCTAAAAATATATATATATAAAGAAAAAGAAATCAAATAGTTTACAAGTAAGTGCCATAATAAAGCAAATAAGGTGAGTTAATTCTTCAGAATCTTAATTAAACTTAAATTTTTTACTGCATCTGTAAACTAATGATTATAAAAATTTGCAAATTAAAAAAATATTTTGAAACACAAAAATATATAGTAATTCATAAAAAAAAATCCGTAAATAAATAACTCATTTCATACAGTTACAAGAATAACAAAAAAAATTTCTCAAATACTTTTATTAGTTTAAAATAGTCTGGAAGGACAATCTCACCTGATTAGGAGTATGAGAGATCAGAAGTTTACTCATGTCATGAACTAAAAAGGGTTGTAATAGGCAATAATATTTAATATTCCAAGGAATCCCCTAAAATAATAACAGTGCAACCATTGAAAAAGTCATTATCAAATATTCAACATCAATTATAAAAACATGATAAACAAATCTAATGCTTTAACGAAATCTTTCAAGGACACATTTATAATATAATCTTAGAGCATTCCTTTTCCATACTTGAGAAAATGCAAACAAGATTTTTTTATAAAAATAACACTTATTTCTTTATTTATTTTATATAAAAATAAACATAAGATGAATTAATATTAACTATCACAAAATATTATAAAGCTTTCTGATATTTTCTTGTAATACTATTATGCTAAGGCTCAGAATTTTTGTCCTTTTCATTGACTAAAGATAAAAAATTATTGAAATCATTTTTTTTCCAACATCTCACTGCCAAACACATATAAAAAAAAATAAAACTAATAACACTAACCAAGTACTCCATGCTTCTTTTGAACTTAGCATTGTTAGAAATGAAAACATAGTCTTGCTTATTCAAAATTGCAACATGAAAAATTTATTTTTGAACTTAATGATAGATCAGTTTTGCTAAACTTTCGAGATAATTTGATATTGGTGAAAGAATTTCACCAATATCAAATATCAATCACCAATATCTATTAGTAGTGTTTTTTTTTTAATTCATCCAATATTTCATGTGGAAATATGGCTTAATATACATGCACTACATACTATGCTAAATTTTTATAATATTAATCATATAATATTAATCAAAGATGAATTTTGATTTATGATGATGGTGCTGCAGATTGATACAGTTAATTCTACAGCAGACTTAAAAATGTTTTTCAAAGATATTGCTTTGAACACTTATAAAATGCATTTCTAAATTTGAAAACTTCCTACAGAGAGTAAACAAGTATAAGATTCTTGAGATTTGTTCACTTAAGTAATCAACAAAAAAAAATTATTTTTCTGTTTTAAAATGGTCTAATGAATTGTGTCATAAGAGAACATCATAAAAATAAATACAATTTCAAACGATTGCATTACATATAACGTTTCTTATTAAGTATAAATGCTATTTAAAAAATATATTACTCTTTTCTTTTGCTGCTTAAAACGTTACAAGAGATCTGTTACTGTGGTCTGTTTAAAGTAAAATTACATCATTCAAAATGATACCTTTAAGGTTTTTGAATGTAGCTTGAAACCATCACTTAAATAATTGACAATAACTTCAGATGACGCATTCATTTTATCAGCTAACAAGGCAGCAATAAATAACATTTCCTATAAATAAAAAAGAAATTCAAGACTATCTCATCATAAATGTAATAATTTTTTTAAAAAAAATAGAAATCACATGTATGCATAATTTAAAAAAAGCTATAAATGATTGTTTTAATGAGGTGCAATCAATTAAAACAGCAATTAAGTGGTATCCAAAATATTTCACCAAAAATTAGGAAAAAGTGTGACAGACACTTTTTCTCAATGTTTTTAAAAGTAAGTACAAATAATTAAATTCAATAACATAATTATTAAATATCTAAAATTAAATTAACAATCCATTTTTTAAAAGATTTAATAAGAAAATAAGATATCTTTTTCGAAAAAAGTGTCATTGAAGTTAGCAACGATATAAGATGACTATAAATATTAAATATTATACTGACAATGAAACGTTTTCTTATTAAATTAACTCTAACTTAATTAAATCAAAAAAATTTTCCAAATAATTTCTAATTGTAAATAGATATAAAAATGTTTAAAAAAAAATGGGGAAAAAAAATAAATCTGATGGTAGTGTTTAATTTCATTCTATTATCAATACTTATAAATGCAAACAATATAAATAAAATACAGCAATTTAAATTAATTCCTTAAAATGCTTTTAAGTCTCTCAACAGACAATTTCAATCTGTAAGTTCTATTTCAATCAATATTAAGCAACATAAAAATCAAGAATTATATATCACATGGATGTATAAAGTGGTTAAGTTGTTTAAAAACGTCAAAATTGTTTAAAATGTCAAACTGTAAATTTATTAAAAATTGATTTAAAGACTTATAAGAATAATGCTAGGAAAAACAACAGCAAACATAACTAAAAATGACAAATTAATCAATTATTAGAAAATCTTCCATAATGCATTACAATAATGTTCCAACTATGATCAGATTCTTGCAAATTATTTAAATAGAATTTACAGTGTTTAATTCCAATCCTCAATTTTTTAATAGTAACTTGTACAATTGTGATATGCATAAAATGTAGATTATAAAATCATAAAAAAAGATTAAAATTAAACATTTGATAGAACTATTCAAAATTTCAGAGAGTGTTTCATTTATGACTTTATATTTCAAAGAATTCTGATTAAATTTAATGAAATTTAGCATCTTGAATATATTAAGATTCATGAAGACAAAATGAGTGCCAAATTTCTTCCCATAGTAAAATTTTTTCCTTTAAGCTATCTTAAAATTTATCTTTTGTTGTTTGTTTGAATGGGCTTCAAGTCACCTTATGATAAAAAAAAGTTTATAGTAATACTTACGTGTGAAAATTCTGTTTCACATTCTCTATAGACTTGAATCTGCTCACTTGCTCGTTCATATTCTTCTTGTAAGATAAGACACTGAAGAGAACCTATAAATACAGAATATAAAAAGAATATTTAAAAAAATCTATCATATTTTTATCAAAACTAATACTAATAACACAAGCTTGAAAAATTAGAAGTAGATTAGACCAATAAAAAAATATGATCTACTCAAAGGTTTTAGTGTTATATAAAACCAAATTGCTGTGATAAACACTACACACAATTAAGTTTTTACATTTTATATACCATTTTGGAGATTTTCGGTAGTTATTCAATTTTAAAAAACCTTAAAAGATGTTTAATACTATTTTAATCACTATAGATGAAATTGATTTTTTTATTATTTCATTTGTATGCAAATAAATAGTTAATGTTTAATGTTGCAGTTTGCAGTTAGGTAATGGTATGATAAACGTGAAAAATAGAAGAAATAACTTAAAATGTTAAATATAATGCAAGTTAGAATATTTTTATATCAGAATAAGAAATATAAGTTTTCTTACCAGTCACACTTCTCTCACATGCATGGGCTTTAAAAATTGCTGCTGCTTTATTTGCTTTTCCTAAAAGCATATATTGAAAGCCAAATTCAGTATTAATTTCTGGGTCATCAGGCTTCAATTCAACAGCTTTCTTTGACATCGAAAATGTAGCTTCTACTATGGGTTTGTGAACTCCAGACTTCAAAATTAATAAAGCATAAAATCAATTTATAATTGAAAAAAAATGCGTTAAACAATAAATAAAAATTGATTTAAGGGGCAAAACATTGTTTAATGAGATATTAAAAGTAATCTTAAAACAATATAAGAATAGCTTGATTACTTTCATTTTTCCTCTAATTTTCATTACAAATTACTAATTAAGTTATAAAATAGATGGATCATCAGTTAGTTAAAAATAACAGTATTAAGGATATTTCTAATTATTTTTCAAAATATTAAATAAAACTTTGTATAACATTTCTTTTAATCAGTTACTGCTAAAGATTTAAGGTAATAAAAAACTAACATTTAAAAAATAATTTCAATTAAATAGAAAAATATTTTTGAAAACATTGTTTTGAATTTTTTGTTATGTTATCCAAATCAATAATGAGCATAACAAGTAAGCTTTCTGCATGAATATATTTAATAATCAAAAAGAAAGAAAAAAATTTCGTACTCACCAACCGGGAGATTAACTGTGCAGTTTCAAAAAATAATTCGGCATTTTTAGGTTCACATTTCATCATAGTCAAATATAGATTCTTAAGTTTATCTTCCACCTAATTAAATTAACACTGAAATTACTTTTTCAAAAATTGTTTTAAAGAAATTATTAACTGACATTAATTCTGTAAAAATAAAGAATAATAAAATGTTATCAGGATGTGCAATTAAATTTCAACAAAATCCAAGAACCTTTAGAGCACTCAAAAAATATTAGTCACTCAAAAATATTAATATTTAAGCAATGTATACTAATTTTTTTTTCAGTGTTGAAGGTACTTAATACATACAATAGAATTAAACACTGTCAATAAATGTAAAAGCCTTTACATAACTAACAATAGGGGTGCACAAACTGTGGTCCTCAAATGGTTGATATATAGCTCACTATATACAAAAGGCTGAAAATTAATTACAAAAAATTACATAGCAAGCATAAGAAATTTTATAACTGTATTTCAAACAAATTTCATAAATTATGATAGACTAATATAAGTCATTTAAAAACATTACCTAACAAAATTCCAAAATGTGTAAGTACAATTCAAGGTGTCAAAAGAGTAAAATCATTTGATATTTATTTATTTTTTATTTATTTATTTTTTCAAAGAAAAGTTTTTATTAAAGAAAATTTCCTATAACCAAAACATACTCACATATTTTAAAGATTTATTTAAAAATTAAAGGTATTAGTAATTTACAGACTGTAAAAAAATTTCTATAAGAAAGTATCAAATCTACTTTAATTAGAAGACAAAGGGTAAAAAACTTCTGTTTTAAGTATTACTCATACGTTTTGCATATATTATATAAAAGCAGAACTTAATCTACCAGTTTTTAGCATGAATCAATATTGTTCTTATTACACTATAGAATGTTTAACTTATTATCACTTGAGCTGAATTCATAGAAGCCCCAAAAGTCAATTTTTTCCCAGAGAAAACCTTCTAACTAAAAATATGTGCACCCCTCAATTATATTATGTACAAAAAGTGAAAAATATTCAAAAATGTAAAAATTCTTAAAATTTTGAATATTACCTCCTCAATTTTGCTTCCTTGGGTGAGCATGTGCATAAGAGTGAATCTAAGAGCTTCAATATTATTGATATCCAAAAGCAATGCTCTGCAAAATAAAACAAAAGTTGTATCCTTATTTTTAAGCTGAGTTGTACATTTTTTTTGCAGGAAAAATTTATGAATATAATTTTATTATGTAATAAAGCTTTATATATTATGAGTAATATAGATTTTTTATATAGTATAGTATGCAATATAGTTTTATAACTAATTATCCTTTTCTTCCTTTAAGGAGCTAAGTATAATTTCAAAAAATGATGGAAGTAATATTAAATCAATGGTATCAAAAGCAATTTTATCATGCTAATTATAATCTACATCAAACATCAATTAATACGGTTTTAATATAGGAAAGTCTGAGATAATTAAAGGCTAAAAACAGCAAATTTTGCAATCAAATCAACAACAATATTCTTTACCTTCCTAAAAGATTTCCTTAAAAAAACAAATCTTCTTTCACCAACTTTTTTGTCACTTAAATTTTGCTTACACTAATTGCAATTTAACTTCATTTTATTAATAGAAAAACTATGTACAAAAAATATTGTTAAGATACAAAGGGGCATAACTAATCACCAGTGAATATTACATTACCATGTTCTTAGATAGAAACAAAAGTAAGAAAATAAAAAAAAAATTTCATCAGAAACAGCGCAAATATTTATGAAATTGGAGAAAATTTTTATCATACTTAAAACATACACAGGGTACATCAAAAGTACATTAATGGTTACCCCAACCTTAAACGAAAAAGTAAAGGTCAAGTTTGGTGCCATTAGACAGGATTTTTCAAAATATCCAACAAGTCTAATTCTTACTTTCGCAATGAGATAGATATGTATTTCTGAAGTTTTCTTCATTTTAGACAATTAATACCTATTTGCTTTTTGAGATTACAGTGTCAATGGGAAATCTTGTAGATCCCATTAGAGTACTTTTTCTTGAAAAACGAATTTGCAATAAAAAATTGGGGCTCCTATTTAAAGTTCTGAAGTTGCCTCTATCCTAATCCAGGTGTGGGAAGTGATATTGATCTTGATGGTTGCCTCTTTTGACAATATATCAAGAGGGCATTTTTAGATTATTGATTTAATACATTTCTCAGGTTATTTGACTTTTTATCTTTAAAAACTAAATGTTCTTTAAAACTTTTAATATTAAACATGATACCGACATCCCCATAAACTGCAATTACAAAAGGTAATCGGATGGGTGTAAAATGACTTAAGAATTAAACAGACCAACACTCTGCACTTAATGTAATTTGAATTTAATTTGTACAGTTTCATATTAAGTAATGATAGTACAAATCAATTTAAGTTCAGTGAAGGAATATTAAAAAGCAAACACTTATAGTCAAAATAGTACCTTTGAGCTGCTGCAATGGTCTGATCCCAATCTTCTAATGCTAGATGAATTTTCATTTTTTCTACAAAAGCAGGAGGATATTTTGGGAACAACACAATAGCTTGGTTAATATACTCTAATGATTTTATAAAATTGCCTTGTCTGTCATAATATTTGGCTCTTCCAAACACAGCTTCTGGGGAAGAACTAAATAAATCCAACATATTTTATTTTTATCAAAACTTTTTAAATTAAAAGAATTTAATTAAAATGCTTCAAATACAATAAAATTTTGGCAATAAACAATAAAATAACAATAAACAATAAAATGAAAAATAAATCTTTTATGTGACAAAAATAATATTCTGGTGTAAGAAAATGTATCTATGCTAACAAAAATACAAATTATTCAAAATCTAAATTTCCTAATACAGTGGAACCCCGATTTTACGTTGTCCGTTTCGTACGTTATCCCGCTTCTTACGTCATTTTCTGCTGATCCGTGAAAATTGCCTATACCGATAATGTTAAAAAATCCCGGATTTTGCGTTACCCCTTTTATGAAAATCCCGCTTGATGCGTTTTTCTACAAACAGATCAAAAAAATTTTTTTATTCTATTCAAAATGGTTTTACTCATTTTTCCGTGCTAGCATACCAAATGAGATTTTCAGTCGGTTTTGTTTGAGTTTGAAAGCTATAGCATTTTTTCTCATTTTCGAAACCTCAGTCATCGTGTTCTTTTCTCGAAAGAAGATGTCGAAACTAAAATGCTTTTCTCTGGCCGAAAAGGCTGAAATCATCTAAAAAGCTAAAGAATTTCATGGCACTAAAGATGATCTTGCTAAATCTTTGGGTATTGCTTATTCAACTTTACAAATGATTTTAAAGCAAGAAGCTTCAGTAGAACTAAACGCTGAAAAACTCGGAAAATATGCCAAGATGAGAAAAACCCTTTAAACATCTCCGTATGATGAGTTAGAAAACATTTTAATGAACTGGTTCAAGGAAGCCAGAGCAGCAAAGATTCCTATAAATGGATCCATCCTGAGAGAAAAGGCGCTTGAAATTGCTGAAAGGCTTAAACTCCAAGGCTTCAGTGCATCAAATGGCTGGATCGATCGATTAAAAAAAAATGGGAACAATTTATGCTTCAAATCTATCTGTTGCGAATCCGATAGTGTGGATATGACAATTGTGTAACAGTGGAAAGAAGAAACTCTGCCAAATTTATTAAAGGGCTATAATCCAAGTGACATATTTAATGCGGACGAAACGGGATTGATTTTCAACCTATTGCCAAACAAGACATTGACAATTAAAGGTGAAAATTGCCATGGAGGAAAGCTTTCAAAAATGCGCTTTACTGTTTTGCTCTGTGCAAATGCCGATGGAAGCCAAAAGTTAACGCCTCTTGTGATCGGTAGAGCAGAGAAACCACGGTGTTTCAAAAATATCAAAAGTTTTCCTACCGATTACACTTCAAACAAAAAAGCATGGATGACGCAAGCATTATTTAAAAATTTTCTTCGAAAACTGGATAAGAAAATGAATTTTCAAAAGCGCAACATAATTTTATTCCTAGACCAATGCACTGCTCATTTAAACCTTAAATTGAAAAACGTGCAAATAGAGTTTTTTCCAGCTAACTGTACGAGCAAACTTCAACCACTGGATTTAGGAATTATCCGATCATTTAAAGAGAGTTACCGGAAGCAACTGGTTAGAAAATCTCCAATGTATCTTGGTTCTGGTGACTTTCAGGAAGCTCCTAAGGCAAAAATTAATGTTCGTGAGGCTCTTAATTTTTTATCTTCAGCTTGGGACAGTGTCGACCGAAAGTGCATTATCAATGGATTCAATAAAGCAGGATTTTCAATATCGGAGGAGGAGGGCGCTGTGTCTTTGGAAGAAGAAGGTAGCGTGTCTGAAGTTGAGGATCTTCCGGAAGTCGATGATGCATACATAGACTGTGACACAGATATCATTACTTCAGAAATCCTTCCATAAGTGATTTAATGCCTGATTCCGACGATAGTGCTGATGACGATGAAGATGAAATAACAGAAGACGTGCCAACAGCTGATCAAGCGACACAAAGCATAAAAACTCTAAAACAATTTTTACTTGCAAATGTTAATCAAGAAGCAAATTTGCAAAAAATTGTTAGTATTGAACGAGCTGTATATGAAATTGTAGCTAAAAACAAAAAGCAAGTAAAGATTACTCATTTTTTCCATTAATTTAACTGGTATGTGTCAATTTTTAAAAATATGCATAGATTTTTCTTAACCCCGATTTTATGTTATTCCGCTTCGAGCGTTTTTTATCGCTAGTCCCACCGAAAACATAAAATCGGGGTTCCACTGTATAATAAGTTAAGATAGTAACCAAATATAATTATTCTAAATATAATAACCAAACACAAAATAATTTGAAATTAAAACATAAACTCTGCTATAGTGTTGCAAGCCAATAAGGCATGAAGTAAAACATAGTCAATATGGCTTTGCTTCAGAAACAGAGTACTTCAAATTCAAAAGAACATCATTTAAGTACAGATACTTATCTAAAACAAAAAAAAACATGCATAAAGCACAAATAAAGCACAGAAACTATAGTTTCAGCTTTCTAAACAAGAACCTTTTTCAGTGTCTGAAAATCCCCAAAAAAATGAATTTCATTTTTTTTATTTTATTTATACACTAAGGAAGGTTCTTATTTAGAGAACCCAAACTATAGTATGTCCATTTCGGTACTTGATTTGCACTTTATTCACATTGTTTTTTGCTTTAGACCATATAGAAAAAAGTATACTTTTTTCTGACATTGGATATATACTTATATTTTAAGATCTATCATTCCACAAACATAGATAAGCTTCTCAATTCATTTTTATTGTTTCATAACCCTAATTTTTTGAAGAATTACTGTTCATAACAATGGTTTTAAAATTGAGGTATACTGAGTTTTTGGGATACAAAGAGATTTCACTAGGTACATGTTTGCAGTTAAAATAGGAAGAGTATTTCAAGTATACTGCATCTTGTTAAAAATTAGTTTAATCTGCTATATGTGGCTTTTAAAATGAAACTAATAAGTTAATATAGTGACCAGTTTTGCTTTTTTGATAAAAATTCATAAAAAATAATATTAGTATTTTAGATAATTTAATCAGTAGAAACTTTTCTATAAACATTGCTTTGCAAATCTCTCCTGCATGAGCCACAGATATGCCAATCATATTTCTATGTAAGTAGACTGAAGAAATCTTGTCTAAAAAAGAATCAAAGAAAGAAGATATTAATTAAAAATTACTAATTTGGGACATTTTCTAAAATGGGAAAATGAAAATGTAGAAACAAGTTGAGTAAATAGTAACTAATAAATAAATAACCTAAGTGATTATTTTTATTATTACTTTTAGAAATACTTCATTTAGTCTCTTCTAAAATGAAAAAAAACAAGGAAAAACCTATAATTAATCAATGTTTTAAAAATCAAAGTTAGAATACAAAAAAAACAACTTATTACTAACTTATCAGCACTTTCAAAATATTTCCATACATCTTTTGAAGGAGATCCATCATGAGTCAGCATTTCAATCCATCCCAGAAAAATTGAGGCCTAAAAATAAAATATTACAAAATATAATATGCAAAATTGAAAAAAAACTAGACAAACCATATATACTGTAGTACCTAATTTTTATAATTTTACAATATATTTAGAAATCTCTAACCTGTTTCTTATGGAATGTTTTAAAGTTAGCAACAAAATTTCAAACCTTTTAAACTAAATGCAAATTTAATAAATTTTTAGAGGTTCTCAAGTCCAAGTATGAAAGAAGATTTTCCTTTCAAACCAATAAAAGAAGTACTATGGCAGTTTAAAATATTTTTAGCTTAGCCCTAAAGGGAATTGAAAAAAAAATATCTGTTAAAAAATTTTGAAAATTAAAAAAAACTAAAAATATCATTTAAAATTGGTGATAGCATAATTCAAAAAATATATATACAAGATACATATCACATATCATACTCACACTAACCTTTTTAAGCAATGCAGGCACTTTTAGAACTTTTAAAATAAAGTTTCTTGCTTTTTCAGGTTTATGTAACAACATGAATGTAATTCCAGCAAGGAATATAGCCTAAAATAAATTAATAAATAAATTTTAAAGATCTCTTTTCTTAAAAAAAAATATATACATAATACTATAAGGTTCAAAGTTTTTACTTGCAAATTTAATGTGTAAGTACTTGACAGAAAAAAAAAACAGCCAAAACATAACAAAATCACTTTTATGCTTGAAATCAGGAAATAATATAGAATAAGCTAATTTAATAGTTGGTAACATGATTGGTTCCTTATTATACCCAAACATTATCTCTGAGTTAACTATAGTTAATACACTTCAAAATGAAAATAATTTCTGTAAAATATACACCTGCTTTAACTGTCATAGAAGCAACTCCAAAAATACCCAAGACTTAATAAGAAAAGTTGCCTCATTAAACTATGATTAATAGATCATAAATAAAATAGTACTCACAACAAAATAGCAGAGAAATGCAATTTTCACAAGAGAAATAAAACACCCTTACTTGATATTACAATGTAACTATAATACAGGCAGTTTCATTTTTTTTCTTACTTATCATGATTTTTTTAATGTACAGATTTAAAATTAAATTTTTAATAGTATTCATGAATAAATACATGATTTGTAGTAGTAGTTAGTATTGTAATTTTAAGTACTAAATTCTAAACAATGTTAATGAAAACTTACAAATCAAGGTTTTTAAAAAACTTTATTAGCATTTTAAACAAGAGAGAGGGAGATAAATTAGAAAAATGAGAAGAAAATTGAGACTGCATTAATGAAAAAAAAAATATTAAAAAACTAAGATTCAAAACCTAAAATAATTATAAAAAGACTGTAAAAACTACATCTACAAGCAACAAATAAAAATAATTGCAGAGTAGGCAGCTAGTACTAAACAAGCTATAATTATTACTAGACACATAAAGCTCAAAAATAGAACAGAATAATAACAAAAATACAAAAAATTATCACACCATTTCTCCAGCAATCTCTAATAAATCCTTAACTCTTCCTTTCAAAATGTTGTCTGAAAATATAATTAAGAGAGTTATTTATGGACTTAAGATATGATAATTCAACTTGATAATACAAATAATGAATAATTCAAATTAATATCACAATCATGAATGAAAATTTAAAAAAAAAAAAAAAACCTTTAAGCCACATATTAATGCTTTTTCATTTATCCATTTTTTAAGGAATAGATTTTGAAGCGTTTTCAAGCAAGATTTATTTATATCATTAAAAAATAATACTAAATTTGAGGGAAGTCAGTAGTTTTATCCAATCCTGTGTAAAAATGTGCATCTTGGATGAGTGTGTTTTATCAGAAATTACTAAATTGATCTTCAAAAACTAATTATTTAATATTCATTATCGTTCAAAATACACTTAAAATTTGAAATTTGAGAAATACTTCTAAAAAATCTATGTTTAAAATTAAATTAAATAAATCGACCAATAGAGATTTAAATGTTACTATAAAATTTGCAAATTGATTCAGCAGTTTCTGAAAAAAGTACATCAAAGTTGGCTGTTTTTACTTGTTGAAGATAGTTAGAAGATCAAACTTTTCTTAATAGAAAACCTCCTGTTTGAAAAACTTTCACAAATTGTTTAGATTTGCATCAGTGGCAACATCTTAGCAAATATTTATATTTCTGAAAATTCAGAAATATTAACAAATATAGAACCATTAAATTTGTAGAATTATGAGATTTTAATAAAATATTTTATTTCATTCTAAGCAACCTTCGAGAATATTGATACAAAACAAAGATATATGTCATTTTACTAAAATCATTCATAATTAACAAGAAATGAAATTGCATACAAAATTCATAAATCACTTCCTAATAGTGAATTGAGACATATGAGCTGCTAGTGAACAAAAGAAGTGATAAACTTTTTTCATATATTATGTAATTGTAAATGATGGCTTCACACCAATTATGCAGTTCTTTGGAATAAAAAATGGTAAATATTCTTTTTAATGAGATATTTAAAATATAAGTTTCTAATATTCTGTGCCAATATATTTGGCATTATAAACTCTGATTAGAAATGAGATGGGTTTTTCAAACTTAAGTTTTTATCCTGCTAAACAATGCTTCCAGCTGCGTTTATGAATTGATTTCAGTAAATATTAGATTTGCTACATTTTTAGAGCATTATATATTTTAACAGTTTTTTGAGAAATTTTAAGATGGCACTTAATTTTAAAATTGCATTACAAGATCATAGTTAAATTACCATAATACTAATTGATAATAAATACTAATTGAAGTGCAGCAAAAATGTCATTTTTCATTAACAATAATATATTAAAACCTAAACTATGGTGTGTCTACTAATACCTTTATGGGATTATCTGTTTTCTTATTTTTTCTAAAACTACCTATTAAAGATTATAATGATGAAAATTCTTTAAAAAAAAAAGAATTTTCATCATCAAAATTTTAAATTTTACCATAATTCATGAGTTGGTACTTAACTTTCAATTCTAACGATTTAAACAACTAAAATAACTAATAAAATTTGAACAGCAGAACTTCTACATTAAAAAAAGTCATATTTTTATCCAAAATGCTTAATTAGTCCTAACTCTTTTAATGAAGAAATTTTAGGTCACTGTTACAAAAATCTTGTAGCATAATGAATTATTTTCAAGAAAACATTTGTACCATAAGTTTCTTGTGGCTGTTCTAAATGTTCAAGTAGAATTGCTGCTGATAAAGATACATCAGAAAAGTCTCTAATCTCACTTAAACCCTCCTCTGCTTCCCCATTGCGACCTGGAAAATCCAGACAGATAAACTTAATAATGCATAGTTCAAATTAATGATAACTACATATTGAATTATAAAGTAAACAAAATTTCAAGTAAACAAAATTTATAAGTATAAAAAGTAAATGTATATAAGTAAAAAGTATACAAGTAAACAAAATTTCATTTCAAATAAAGGATATCGAATAGGGATGCACAACCTTCTTAAGTAAAAAGCAAATTGCACAGCAGATTGACCAATAAATGCTGCATTTCCAAATATTTAGACTCATTGAGGGGAATTATAATAATTTTCATACAAACAACAGCGTTCTAGACTCTAAATTCTTCTTATTAGTTAACTTAGTAATATATTAGATTAAAATTAAATACTTTTAATATTTTAATTAACAGAATTTTTTTTATATTTGAATTCATTTCAAATTTAAGAAGACAAAACTGAAACTTAAAAAAAAAAAAAAATAATAATAATAATGATAAAAATAAACAAATAAATAAAAAAAGCTTAGTCAAATAAAGTATAAACAATGTGGAGAAGCAATGTTTTTTTTATCACATTACGTAATACATTATCATTTTCGAAAAAATTCTAACAATAAAAACAAAAACTTTAATGTTCATAGAATTAAGGTTAAAAAAAACTTTTTTTTCCATTGACCAGAACAAATGCAAGTTACATACTTAAATTAAAAGCAAATGGAAAAGACAACAATGGTAACACTGCATTTGGTTTCATTCAAACGATGAAATGCAAGAGAGGGTGAGATTGTGGATCTGTCAGTCACCTATCTCCTTCAACAAGAAAGGAGCTGATCATCTTATCTCTCAGTAGGATAAATATATTAACGCCTTTAAGAATTGTTATTGCATAAAACAAATTTCATTGCCATTTTGTAGAAGATATTTAGTTTTATCTCTGACTGTTCCTTACGCACAAAAAAGATTACAAAAATAAACAAATTTTACAATAAATAAAAAAATTACTATTAATAAAAAACTGCAAAAATGAGGAAAAGGTGATTGCATTGAAGAACTAATGGGGTAGATTTTTTCCCCACCCACCTACCCCCTTCGCTACTCTCTGAGTACACTTTCAGTTTAGAAAAAGTTCATTTCAAAAAGTATATTTTTAATTTGATAAAACTGTTAACATTATTTTATACGATTACTGGATAGAATTACGAAATGCTTATTTACAGATTTTCAAGATAAAATATGACAGATAAAACTTTTCATAAGAGAATTAATATTTACATCATATATTTATTTAATTTAACATAAGAAAAAATATTATTATGAGTGCTAAACATGTTACACTTACAACCTAAGAAAGAAGGCAGTATCCTCAATTTTTATCATTTTTGGTTTTCTTCTTCTACGTTTCTTATACCTTGATATTTCCCAAGTTAAAAATAGTAAAACCCTTCTTCAACATCTGTTGAGATATGGCAGTACAGTTCCAGCTCAACATAGTACAATATAGCTCAATATAGGCAGCAGCACTGCTCAATATCATAATTCTAAAAAATTATTTCTAACATTGGTTTGAGATCTGTCCCATTCAGAAAAAGTGAATATGCATACTCAGGGGTCTGTCTAGGTTTTTCTGATAGGTACCTATTTTGTGAAAATTTAGACATAATTTGTGAAAAATTAAAAATTATATTAAAAAATCAACACAAAAATATGGATTTATCGTTTCTTAAGGGATACAAAAATAAAATTTTAAGAGAAAGTATTTTGTGAAACGACCGTTTTTCCTAAAATTGAATTTTTGAAACTACCGTTTTTCCTAAAGTTGAATTTGTGAAGGTACCGCTAAACGGTAGTAAATTCGGCCTGGACAGACCCCTGATACTGGTATATAGGATTTTAATGTGTTACTTGTAAAAAAAATTAAAGAAGAAAAAAAAGAAAAGACATCAACTAATAAATTCTGGGTTTGGTACAACAAATGAATTGCAGTGACAGTGTACTAAACCTTTTTTTAAGTTCTTGTGAGAAATCTATATAAGTAATATCTTTCAGATATTTTGAAATTCTGAAGGTAATAGCTTCAATTTTTACCATGTTTATCACTATTTCCTGGAAATAATTTGCTTTTTTTTTTCCTTTTTTTTAACTTAAAATTACCAACAACTAGAGATGTAATGAAAATTTGGCCACTATTTGACCCATTTGGCATTTTGCCAAACATTCAGTTATCCAAATTTTTGGCAAAGTATTTTTTGGAAACATATTTTCGACAAAGCTTTGTTTAAGAGAAATTTGAACAGATTTAAAAAAGAGCAATCGAAATTGTAATTTTTACTATACATTATTAGAAATAGTTTTGACACATATTTATTTGTTAAGTTCTAAAACTTATTGATTTATGTTCTGAAAGCAAAACTTGAAAAATTGAAGCTAGATTACTTTATACTGAACCATAAGTTTGGTAACTTTTGAAAAATAGTAACTTTTTTTGCTTATTTCGTATTTTCTGTTTTAATTACAGCACAGCATTTTAACGAAGCGTTTCAGAAAGACTTTATTCTTTTACTGTCACTTTTTTTCCTATATGGTAAGACAATTAACAGGCAAAAGTGTGATTCGCAATGTTAAAGTTATATTTCAGAACTATTTTCAACTCATTCAACTTCATTAAGAACAATTTTTTTTGTTTCACTTTTGCTTTTTTCATTAACTTTTTTACCAGCATTCTTAAAAAACGCTTCTAATGAACTTTATTCTTTTATGCTCTTTCTTTTCTGAAAATTCGGCAACGTGAAAAAGTTCAATTGAGATTTTTAATGTTTAAATTTTGTGTTTAAACATTAAGAACCCTTTTTGTTTTGGTTTCTATCTAGCCTTTCTCTTATAACAAAAGGTTTTACAAACATTTTTATTATGACGTGGCAATTAAGAGTGTTTCTATTACACATTATTCTTCACTTTTTTTAAAAAAATATGGTATAGAAAACTGAGATGTTCAGCTTTAAAATATTCTTTCAAAAATTATGATCAATTTTCAATTTTTCTGTTTTGCTTCTTGTATGTAATCATTCTTAAGGGCGTTTTCATGATAGCACTACATTTTTAAAAGCGTTTCTGATAGGATATTTCTTCTAACGTTTAATGAATAATTTTTTTCGGAAAATATTATTTTTAGCATTTAAGCTATGTTTTAAGAATTAAGAGGATATTTCTTTCTATTTCTTTTTTTCAACTTTACCACTTCAGTTTTTTTTTTTTTAATAGCAGTTACTCAGTTTTCTAAATATTTTAAATATTTCTAATTAAATTAATATATAATTATCTTGAATATTTCTATGATAGTTTTTTTTTTCCTTTATAATATAATAGCTAAGTTTTGATTATTTTTTCAATAATGACTAAACTTAAGTATAAGTTTATATATATATATATATATAAGACCATATATATATAAATATATATACAGTGGATGCCGCTTAATGTGATCACATCGGGACGAACATGATTTGATAACAATAACCGATTGATTACAATAAACAAAAAAAATTTAAGGTATAAAAATGATTTTTTTACATACGTATTAAAATAAAAATTATTTTAAATTCGGAGTTGTTGCTGTGAAACTCTAAAGTATTTAATAGAAATTAATTTTCACTAAAGAAAAAGAATTAGTTAGTATAGTTACATATTTAATGATGAACTGCAGAAAACGATACAAAATACAAAAGGTTAATTATTAACTGAAAAAGAAATCATCAATTGTCGATTGTTTAGCATTCTTTCGAAGCAAGTCATTTACGAATCGCTCATAATCATAATGCTTATGAAAGTGTTCCGCGTCGGCTTTGTTTTGCACACCTAGCCGTAAGACTCGAAGTGCCTCCCTCATCTGAGCAGGCGTCGGAATTTTGTCCTCGATAGCACTTTCGGGTTCATCATCGGCATCAGAATCTTGTGACGAAGCTGGATCTTTGACACATACGGCTTCGCAAATGTCCTCATCAGTTAACGAAGTAGAAGTCTCAACCTTCTCGTCGATCTCCATCCATGCTTCAAAATCCTCAGCATTCATATCGGGCGGGGGATTGAAAACGTCTTCCATTTCTTTCATTACAGCAGCATTGTTGTCCTCTGGTTGACAAAATCCTCCATGACTAAAACAATTTCGAATTGTTTTTTCCGAGACATTATTCCATGACATTGTTAACAAATGTATGGCATCCAAAACATTTGTTTTTTTGGCTAGAGCGTTCGCATTAAGATCTTCAGCGTCTTGGTCTTCCATATTTTCTAAGATCCTTGAACGCATTTCCTTTCTGTAATATGCCTTCAAGGTGCGGATAATTCCCTGGTCACACGGTTGAATTAAAGAAGTGGTGTTTGGTGGTAAGAACACGATATTTATCTT